GAGAGAGAGACTCTCAACCTCCAATTGAAATAAATCTTAAGGTACAGGACACAATTCAATTTCAGTTCCAAGAAACACAATAGCAGAAAGCTTTATTTTGCAGACTATTTTGCTCTATGGAGAACAGACTAAAATGCTCTTCTGTTTTTTGCCTTTATTTTTATGACTGAATCTTCTTCTAATATAGTTCAAAATAACTCTTTTAACAAAGTAAAAACAAACAAAACAGATCTGTGAAAATGGCTCACTCAATTTTGCTCTAATTAAAATATTTTTTAAAAGGGAGAGTAGAAAATCAAACAGGGAGTCACTTAAATTTCCATTCCACCAGAAATCTGTATACAGTATTACCACGGTCCTCATCGATAATCCATTTTGGAAGACATGCCAAATACTAAAACTGTTCAGTTCCAAGAAAAACATGTGACCTACCACGTGGCCTGCTATTCTGCCCAGAAGAAATAGTGTGTAGAATGGTAGATGACATTAGCAAATTCTTTTTTTTTTTTAATGTTGACTATCAGGAGAAAGACGAGCACCAGGACAAGATTTCTGCTTCAAAACGTGTCAAAAACCTAATTTGACAGGTCTTGAAGCAGCTGAGTTCCGAGATATATTTTGCTTTCTTAACCCCAGTTCTTAGGTGCATGATTAGCACTAGCCTATAGCTGTTATTCCCTTTGTGAAGATCTGATGCTACCGTCAATCAATCAGACTAGAGCTGGAAGGAACCTTGGAAGTCTTCTAGTCCTACCCTCTGCTCAAGCAGGAGACCCTATACCATTCCAGGTAGGTAGCTGTCCAGTCTGTTCTTTAAAATAACTACAATTTCTGGAGGCAAGCTGTTCCACTGGTTAATTGTCCTCACTGTTAGGAAGTTTCTCTTTAATTCCAGGTTGCTTCTCTCCTTAGTTTCCATCCATTGTTTCTTGTCCTGCCCTCTGGTGCTTTGGAGAATAACTTGACTCCTTCTTCTTTGTGGCAGCCCCTCAAATACTGGAATACTGCTATCAGGTCACCCCTAGTCCTTCATTTCTCTAGACTGGCCATATCCAATTCCTGCAACAGTACTTCATATGTTTTTGTCTCCAAACTTTTAACCATCTTCTTTGCACTTTTCCCAAAGTCTCAACATCTCTTTTGTAATGTGGTGACCAAAACTGGATGCATTATTCAAGGTGTGGTCTTACCAAGGCTTTATAAAGCAGTACTCATATTTCACATGATTTTGATTCTATGTCTCTGTTTATACAACCAAGCATTGTATTAGCTTTTTGACTACCGCTGCACACTGCTGGCTCATGTTTAAGTGATAGTCTTACTAGGACTCCAAGGTCCCTCTCACAGTCTTAGAATCCAAAGCCTTTTTGGCAATAGCATTTATGCAGCAAGTTGTTGACTTGCCAAAGAATTTAAAAGATGTTATTTCATGTAATACATAGCAACAAATTCTTCAAGAAATGAGATCATTGCCAAAAGTACATCATATTATCAGTGTATAGAGGATATCTATTGAGACCTTAATGACTAGTCATAAGAATAGAACTGCATTCTTCCTGTCCCTCTTTTCACAGAATGAGGAAGACCACTTTAGTCTCAAAGCCAGATCAGAACTCAATCTGAAATCAATTTTGAAAAACTTTTTTTAGAATATGTGCAGATGGACAACAATCATTCTTTTAAGTGTATTAAGTATATAGGCAGTTAATAATAACTGTGGCTCCAGAGCAGATTTTTCCAGTATAGCACTATAACCAGGGGTGGGATTCTACCAGTTCGCACCTGTTCGCTAGAACCGGTTGTTAACATTCTAAGCAGTTCAGAGAACCGGTTGTTAGAAGAAATTACTGGCCTAATCCTGTAAGGAAGGCAGGAAGGAAACATTCTGGTGTTGCTTACAGAAACTGCCTCTCCATTAACCCTTATTACATTCTTGGCAGGATTAGACTTCCTGTCTCAGGAACTTCTCTGGAGTTTTTTTTTCCTCCTTTGCTGGTACTTTGCTTGTGTCGAGTGACCATTCAAAATTACAATGGCACTGAAAAAAGTGACTTATGACCATTTTTCACACTTACGACTGTTGCAGCATCCTGACAGTCATAAGAGGCCAGGCGAGGAGATGCATGTCTCGATGTGAGTGATGTTGAGTTGGCCACGCCCAGCCAGTAACATGACCACCAAGCCATGTCTACCCAGTCACATGACCACCAAGCCATGCCCACCAACTAAGCCACGCCCACAGAACTGGTTGTTAAAAAATTTGAATCCCACCCCTGACTATAACTGCCTGTTTTAAGACAAATGACATCATTTTCTCATGACTTCAATGTATTTTAGGGTCATGCAATCAATTTTATGTCCAGCTATCATAATAAACAGAAATCAAAAGAGGTAATCGGTTACAAGCAACATGTTACCTGCTAGAAATAACCTAGTTTACAAAATTGGAGTAGATTATCTTCTGGACACTGCACCTGAAATCATAATAAATCTGGCATTTGTCCAAGTGATCTTATCCACAAACTGGTCAGCAAACTTGCCAGGCTATTATTGCTACAATGCACATACTTGGGGCAGGTATCTTCTTCTCCAATAAATCAAAATGGAAGATAGTCATAAACTCATTTCATTTCTTTACTATTTTAATGCATACTATATATGGACTTCTGAATTAGAAAAAGATATAGAAAGCTTAGAAATTGGATGAAGACAATTATTTCTCTGCAATGTCTAAGAAAATATTTTTCAAATTACATAGATCCATAATTAGCAACTATACCTTCTCCAACATACTTATACATTTCAAAACAATATTGTCTAAAAATATTGATAAAATCTTTCTTACCTGTTATTAAAATTAGTGCAGAAAGTTAGATTTCTACAGCCCAGCTGACAAGGTTCACGTACATCTGCTAAGCAAGTCAACATTGAAACTTCAACAGGATTATATTCACAAAAACGATCAAATTCTTGCCAGCTTTGTGTATTGCCCCTGCTGCTTGTATAAAGTTTAGTGCATACATCTCTAAAAAAAGAAGAACAAATATATGTGAAATAAAATTTTAAAAATGAAATCTTTTATAAGTGTAAATGTTCTTTAGCATATAGGTCATAAGACTTTTGTCCCAAACATAGAAAAAGAAACATATTAGGGCTGCAAGAAACTGTAGAGTTTTAATTATGTCCAAGCCATTATTGATATAATTACTAAAAAGAGTTTTTTTTTAATTAAACAACACACACAAAAAGAAACATTTAAAAACAGTGAAGATGGTGTAATCATCCTGGCACACCTAGTTGTCTTACATAGCTAATTCATATGGTAGATAATACATATTTACATACTATATACTTAATATATAATATATACATCAATATCAATATCAATCATTTTTAATAATCCTAATCTATCATTTTAACATCCTTATTTTATTTTCATTTACATTTTGAGTCCTTCCTTTTTTCCCCCCCAACCAGTGGTAAAACTTTTCTCATACTTTATAGGATTCAGATTCATCTTTATTTTTTAGTTCTTGCGTCAATTTGTCCATTTCTGCACATGTCCATATCTTTTTAATTATCATCTGGAATTTTCATCTGGAATTTCCTTAAGTTTCCATTTTTGGGCATAAACTAGTCTTGCAGCTGTAATTACATGTATTATTAGATACATCATATCTTTATTATATCTATATAGTAATTCCCAATAAGAAAAATTCCGGTTTGTATTCAATTTTGGTTTCACACATTTCTTTTTAGTAGTACTTTTTCACTAAAAAGAGTTGCTAATAACCTTTTGAATAGTTACTAAAATTAGGTTCTACTGAGCATTCCAAGTCTTATCTTACAAATCCAAACAACTCGCTATCTGGAGAGCCGATACACAGACCACCCTCAAGACAGACACACACACCAACAAACTCAGAAAACTACAACAACGCCAGAAATAAACTCCTCCCCCCTCATATCCCCACAGAAACCCTTATATGCGAAGTTGAAACCAGCCTGACCAAAACCAACCCTGATGATGCTAACAGAATCAGACTGGAAATCACCAACATCCTCTGCACTAGCAAACCACCCAAAAGCAACTTATCCAAAGAAGAACAAACTGCACTACGTAACCTGAAAGAAGACACCAGCATAATAATCCTACCAGCAGACAAGGGCAACGTGACAGTGGTTATGAACACATCTGACTACCAAACCAAGTTAAGCAACCTACTCCAAGACCCCACATACAAACCCCTAAACACAGACCCCACCACCTACCTAGAAGAAATTACCAGATCCAAAATAAAAGCCTCCCCCATCAGCGAAGAAATCCAGCAAAGAATCATACCCAGAGAGAAATCATCCAGATGCCCTAAGCTTTATGGTCTCCCCAAGATACACAAAGAAGGAACCCCACTTAGACCAATAGTCAGCTCTATAGGCTCACCTCTACAAAACCTAGCCAAATTTCTCGCCAAACAACTACAGCCCTATGCAGAATCCATCAACTCACACGTAAGAAACTCATTCCAGTTCATTGAGATCATAAAGAAACAAAACTTACAACCCAGCGACCTACTAGTGAGCTTCGATGTCATGTCCCTCTTCACCCAAGTGCCAATAAAAGAAGCCTTGACAGCCATTCAAAACAAATACAACCCCCCCAAGCACATCCTAGATCTGACCAACCACTGCCTATCCAATACATACTTCACCTACAACGGACAAAAATACAAACAAATAGAAGGAGCACCCATGGGATCACCCCTCTCACCTATCATCGCAAACCTCTACATGGAACACTTTGAAACACAAGATCTAGAAAAATATGATCACAAACCCAAACTCTGGCTCAGATACGTAGATGACACCTTCATAATCTGGCCACACGGGAAAGAAAAACTGAACAACTTCCTCACACACCTCAACAGCCTTCACCCCAAAATACAATTCACCATGGAAACAGAAGCTAACAATCAACTTCCCTTCCTAGATGTCTTAGTATACAAAAAAATCCAATGGCTCCCTAGGACACACCATCTACCAGAAGAAAACACATACAAACCGCTATCTACATGCACTCTCACACCACCACCCAGCACAGATCAATTCCGTCGCCGAGACACTCATCTCCAGAACAAAATGCTTAGCCGACAAACAACACCAAAAACTGAACTACACACTCTCACTAATGTACTAACAGCCAATGGATTCCAAAGAAAGAAGATTACCCACCTAATCCAAAAAGAAACCCCAACCAAAATCCAAAACAGAGAACAAGAGAACGGCAAAGCCCTCCTCCCATATATAAGGCACTACAGACAAAATCAGCAGCCCCTACTTTGCTTGTGACCCTTCCAATGGCTATATTAGCCCTGCCAGCTGTCCCATCCCTGAAGCTTCTCTGGTGATGGCTGTCCTTCCAGCACAGGCCCCACCCTTGGACCAGGGAGATCACCCTCTACCACCATTAAAGTTAAGTCTGATGGGACCCCAAAGCAGCTGACCCATTTCCTAACCTAAGTCTGGCATTACATGGAATGCTACAGGATAACATACCAAACTGTACCATCCACATTGACTGTATGGTCCCAGCACTAGATGGAGATATGGCGTAGTGGCTCGTGGCCCTCTATGATGATGATGATGCAGCCAAACTGGAGCACTTTTAAAATAGGAGATAAGGTTTACCCCTCCACTAAGTTCCTGCAGTCATGACATCCCTGCAGAAAACTAAGACCAAAATATGTAGGGCCTTTCCCTATCACCAGGGTCATAAATCCAGTGATGGTTAAATTAAACTGCCAAAAATAATTTAAGTGCATTTGTCCTGTTTTCTACTGTAGTCTATTGAAGCCTGTATCTAGTTCGTCCTTGTGGCCTGACACAAAACCACCTCCACCTCCAATTACAATAAAAGGGGAACAACATTTTGAGATTAAATAAATCCTGGATTCTAGATTCCATATAGGGAGGTTACAGTACCTTATTCTATGGATGGATTTCCCTCCTGCAGAGGTTGAGTGAGTTGAGGCTAGTGATGTTCATTCTCCCCCAACCCGTTTAACCCACCAGTTTCATAATTAAGACCCCAATAAGCCAAAAAGAGTTGTTTCCCATTTTTTCTTTTGTAGTTATAGCTGTTTATTGGAGGCTTCTAGCTTCTCGTCGCATCTTGCCAGCCTGAGATTAGCAATTGGGGTGGTGGTGAGAGAGATTAGAATGTGGTTGGACAAGGTGTTGGGTTGGGACTGAAACTGTGCGAGCCCTGAACATGAGTTACACCAATACAGCATAAGGTCAGACAAAAGAATGTAGAGATGGAAAAGGTGCGAACACAGGGTCCATCTCCCAATCAATCTGAGAACTTCTAATTGGGTACTGACTGATAATGGGGTGGCTGGCGGAAAAAGGGGAAACTAATTGCATTTACTTCATGCCAAGTCAACAGATTCTGTCTTGCTACTTCTGTATTTGCTTTTGTTCTTTGTAAAAACAATGGAAAATTGGAAAAACAATGAGCTAGGTATCTCTCTTTGCTAATTAACTTAAGTGAGACAGATGAAACAGTTAAGGATAACAGTTAGAATTTTAGTAGTATGTAGTTTTCTGACTTTTATATAGAATTTTTAGACTGTCTACTATTGACCTCACCCCTTTCCTAAGAGGTCTGTAGGGGGCGTGCATAAGCGCACCAACGTGCCTACCGTCCCTGTCCTATTGTTTCTCTTATTCTTCTTTTATTTTTCTTATATGTACCCATTTCATGTATTCACAACTATGTATACACTTATACTTATTATCTTGTAAACAATTGGCAAATCAAATAAATAAATAAAAATAAAACATTTTCTTTTGACATTAGCAAAATGTCTTACGAAAGTGATGGCATTTTTGTTAGGCTGTTTTATTACACTATTGATAGGAGTTCCAAAGCATTCTCAAATTTCAGATTGGTTCACTTCATTTTTAAAAAATGAACAATTTAAATATTAGCAAATTAATGGCTAAAAGAAAGGATGTTTTTAACAAAAGTTTGTAGGAACTGAAACAAAGAGGGAGATACACTAACCTGCACAAAGAAGTATTTGCTTTGGAACAACAGTGCAACTTAGCACTGTCCAGAACTGTTGAAGGTGGTGGATGCAGTGTCACTCCAGGATGAACAGATCTTGAGCTCTCCAAGAAACATTGCCAAAGAGGATCCTGTGGAAGAGGCATTGTTTTACAACTTTCAATAAGTCCATCCACAATTTCATGTTCTGTTTTCATTGACATCAGTATCCTTTTACAAGCTGTTTGGCAAACATGATCTTCTGCTCTATCACAACAGTATAAACCTATATAAGAAAGAAAAAGAAATAGTTGTCAACTTTGTGCATATATGAACTTCTAGTTTAGCATGCAAGCATGAGTACTCATCTTCTTCTACTATTCATCTTCTTAATCTACATTAAATTATTGCTATCGGTTCAATACTTCATTAACTTAATACAAACTATTTATGCCTTGGTATTCTCTCTCTCTCTCTCTCTCTCTCTCTGTGTGTGTGTGTGTGTGTGTGTGTGTGTGTGTGTACAGCAAGATTTTTTTCTCAGATAATGCTTTCCTGAAATCCGTAAGTTTCTTGAGTTTATCAACTATTCAGACTTACTGAATCTTCGATTTTTTTCCCTTTTTTATTTTTAAAATATATATCAACATTAATACATGAATAGTGTGGCATCTGGGTATCATTCATTTTGAGACAAGTGGCAATAATAATATTAATAATATTTGTTACATAAATCAAACTTATGAAATCCTAATATTAATATACATGTTTATTTTAAAGTAGTTATTCAATATTTCAATGTTCCATTTTAATGCCAATCACAATATTATTTGAGCTTACATAGTAATGCCATCTTTCAACCTCTAATCTTTCTCTCTAATTATTGCTTTTATTCTATTATACAAAAATATGTGTGCTAATATTTCCTCTATTTCTTATTTCTACCTCTATTCTGGCTTCTAGTCAGTCTGCCATTACTAATCCTAGTGTTAATATTTTATATGTTTACATTAAGATATAATCCTTTATTATTTAATTATTCACTATTTCATTGCACCATTCTAGTGCCAATCACCATATTATTTAAAAATACTTAATAATACCATCTTTCAACCTCTAATCTTTCCATCTAGCTATTACTTTATATAAAGAGTGTGTATTTTTATTTCTATCTCTATTCTAGTTTTTAATCAGGCCATCATTATATTAAAGAAAAAGAAAAAAATATTTCCTTTCTATCCATCATCTCTTGCTCGGTTTAATACTTTAATTCTTATTTGTTTTTAGCTTGCCTCCCATACACCTCTCTTGGATCCTTGCCTCTATCTACATCTCTATCTTCACTATTCAGTCTAAACATTTCTCACATCCTCCTATGATGCCATGCTTCCAGAGTATTTATCTCCCTTTCAAAAGTATCTTCCTGCTTATCTGATTCTATTTTTAAATCTCTTAAAGTACTTTCCCCTTTGTTTATTTCATCAGTCATCTTCTTGCTTTATTTGCTAATTTGTCTGTTCTATCTTCTCCTACATTTTATCTGTTGTCTCCTCTCTTTCCTGGAAATTTTGGTCTTCACTCATTATCAGTTGCAGATAATTTTCCCATTTATGCCATGCAATAAGTTCTTTATCTCCCTGTAATTCTTTGTCATAGTATCCTTAATGCTTTGAAACATCATGTCTTTTGAAATTTCACTTATCTCGCCCTGATGGAGTATCCTGTATTATTTTAGTAAGTTCCGCTCTTACACAATAGTCCAAAAATAATATATTCAAGCCTAATGTTGCTCCTCAGAAAGTACAATACTCATAGTTCTTTATATTCCAGGATTATTCAATCAGTTTCATTTAAATAGTCCAGGAAGCTTTCAAAAAATCAGAAGTCACTTTACTTTGTTAAGTCTTCCTTATTCCAACAGTTGAGTCTCCAGTAATCATAAAGTAGATAATTATAGAACAGTAGGTATCACCACAGTCCTCCAGATTAATATTATTTATTTCTCTTATCAGAAACTTTCCCAGGCTTGTACAGGTATGGTATATTCTCCATTCATCAGTAGGTGGCACCCTCAGCTTAGTTTTCAGCGTTGTTTCAAATGTAACAAGTTATTTAATCCAATTTTAATTCAATTTATAGAAGCAAAGTCAAATTCAAGTAGGTAGTTCCAGAATTTTAAAATGCTTTTCCAAAACAACGCCTACCCAGTTTGAAAGTCCAATCTTCTGTTTTGAAAATTCTTTACCTTTTCTCTCTTAGTTCCTTTCTTTCGGGTCAAGGATTTTTCTCTGTATAATTGTTCGCTGCTTTAACAGACAGTTCTAAAAGTCTCTTTTCCTGGATTTTCTCTTTTTTTCCCCCCTTTAAAGTTAGGGTCTAAATAAAAAAAGAATCTTCTCACCCAACTCCAGTCACTGTTCATCTACACCACTCCTGCACTTTGTTGCCTTGGCTGTCCCAGCTTCATGGCAGCCATGATGACTGCCTCTTCTCATCCTGGATGAGAGGGAAGCCCTGAGTCAAGCAGAAGAGTTGCTGCTCTCCACGACCTGCAGGCTTTAGCTCCTTTTGGAGCCCTCCAATAGGGAGAACTCAGTGCAGGAGCACGTAGACCCACTCCTCATGTCCAATCTCGCCACAACGTCAGACGGAATCTTTGATTCTGAAGAGTACTTTAAAAGATGAAGTTTTAGGAGATACTGTTTCCAAATTTTGTACTTCTATTATCTAGCATCAATTTTTGGATGAGTCCTGCTAGTGTAATCTCTCCTTTTTATGCAAAATTCAAAAATTGTGAAATATATTTTTGGAAAAGGGATGTTTTGAAACTTTTTTTCATACTCAGTTCATGAACTGGGATAATCCTTATCTCAGAATAAAATTTAAAAACTGATCATATAGAAAAATGGTAGATGATGACATTTAGCTTAATTAATTAATAGATACATTTTCAATATTTTCTGCTGTAAAGGAAAAATAATCTGATTTAATTTACGTGGCTCAGTGCAGTGGTGGTATTCTACCAGTTTGCCTCGGTTCAGCTGAACTGGTAGTAAAAAACTATTTCCGACAATCTGCTGGGTGACAATCAGCTGTCAGATCAATCGTCAGATTTCTTGCTTTCTAGCTAATCTAAATCATGCTGCACAACTGATTCCCCCCTCACTTCAAAATGCTGCTTTTTTCAGCTCCCAGGAAGCTTCCCTGAGGCCCACTAAGCCAAAAACAGGGCACAGGGGGTTGCTGCAAAAGAAAAGAGAGAGAGAAAGAAAGAAGGAGGGGAGAAAGAAAGGGAGGGGAGAAAGAAAAAGAGAAAGAAGAAAAAGAAAGGGAGGGAGAAAGGGAAAAAGGAGAGGAAGGAAGGACCACAAATCTTGCCAGTAGACCCAGGGTCTTCAAACTTGGCAAGTTTAAGACTTGTAGACTTCAACTCCCAGTTTCTGAGCTAACTTGACTGGAGGAGGAATTCTGGGAATTGAAGTCCACAAGTCTTAAAGCTGTCAAGTTTCAAGACCCCCGCACGCAGCTTCAGAGGATGCTTTGAAACAGCACAGCAATCCAGGGCTGGAAGGTACCTGGAGGTTATCTAGTCCAACCCACTGCTCCAGAAAGTGAGTTTATCTTTTGACCCCGTCACATGACCACATAGCCAGACCCCACCCAGTCACATGACCACATAGCCATGCCCACCAAGCCACGCCCACAGAACTGGTAGTAAAAAAAAATTGAATCCCACTAGTGGCTCAGTGGCAGTATTTTCAATTACATCTACTGACATCCCAATCTGGACATGCATTTTTAGACTCAAAAATACCTACTCTACAAGTAATTATTCAAAAAGCTTAGAATTACTTAAAAAAAATCTGTTAGTGATGAATCAAATTGATATGCACATTTTAGAATTTGCAGATTAGAATTAAGTGGTTTATATTTTGCCTAGACAATGGAAAAAGTTATAAGATCGATATTCAAAACTTCAATAGATTTTGTATTAACTTATTCAATAAAAGTAATATTTTAGACTTGGACTCCATCGTGCTTATATTATAAATCACATATTCTGAAATTAATGCTTCATTTCAATATGATTTTGTCATGTAAGTATAAATGTTCCTTACAAAAAGGAAGTGAATACATACATTAATTTGCGAAATTTAATATTCCCATATATTCATATTATTTTGAAATACATTCTTAATGCATGGAAAGTTAAATCTAGATAAAGAAAATAAGTTCCCTATGCTCTATTTATAAATAATCACTGGACAACATTTTTTTCAAAACTTCTGCTTCTTGAGAACTTTAGGTAGTTATGATATACCCCTCCAAACTGAATACACTATAATTTAAGAATGTCTATATCATGTTGGAATCTTGAGAAATATTAATTTTACTATAATGTATATAATGTATTATTACATGCTTCTGTTGCATGAATTCAATAGGGCTAAAGGTGTTTTATTGCTGATTTTCATTTGTACTCAGTGACCAATACATCTCACTGCAGTATCCAACAATAATTGCCAGCATTGATCGATTCCAGTTGGCCTGGTATCCTTTTTCCATTGTGGTAATGTCCTCCTGAAATCTTTCATCATGTATGTCACTGATTTTCAGGAAAGAAGTCCAAATGTGAATGCAGAAAAGGAAATCTCCAGTGACATATTGCACCCCATGGTCTTGTATTCCTTTAACCGGTTTGTCAACCAGCTTGAATGTAGTTTGGTGCTTTGTAGTTGCCAAGAAAATTTTCAATGACATTCTTGAACACTTTCCAGGAAATTTTCTCTGGCCCCATTAATAAATCTTCAAACTGCTTATCACTGATGACCTTCTTAACCTTGGCATCAGTTATTTTTGGAAACATCTGTCTCAAATAACAAAAACTTTCACCTTCCTCATTTTATCAATTCAAGTTTTATGTGAAGCAAAGACAAAAATATCTTTGTCAAGTCAACAAGAGGCTCATCTGCCATGAATTTATGTTCTGGAATCAAATTCTTTTGAAGTAGTCATTTCTTTTTAATGTAATGCAATTCTCTTGCACAGCTGTCTCATTCAAAAATATAACAACAGTATTTGGTATATCTGAGTTGCATTCCAAGCAGCAGTGAATAAATTAATTGCTTTGCTCCTTTCCCAATGAATAGTTTAATCTTTGGGGGGGAGGGGAGAATTTTTTTTTTACCCTAAAACAAATCTTGAACTATTAGAAGTAGCTCATTGCTCCACTGGCATTAAAACAAGTACAAGATAAATGGTCTCAAATCTGGATAAAGTTATGTCTGGACTTTTGGCTTCTGAGTCCCTGCTTCAAATATATATCCAAATCTATTCAGATGAACAAATAATGTCATGCTAGGTAAAGGTTCCCCTTGCATACATGTGCTAGTCATTTCCGGCTCTAGGGGGCGGTGCTCATCTCCGTTACAAAGCTGAAGAGCCAGTGCTGTCCGAAGACGTCTTCATGGTCATGTGGCCGGGATGACTAAATGCAGAAGGCGCACGGGATGCTGTTATCTTCCCACCAAAGTCATCCCTATTTTTCTATTTGCATTTTTACATGCTTTCAAACTGCTAGGTTGGCAGAAGCTGGGACAAGTAACGGGAGCTCACCCCATTATGCGGTGTTAGGGATTTGAACTGCCAAACTTTCTGATCAACAAGCTCAGCGTCTTAGCCACTGAGCCACCACATCCCTCTAAAGTCACTATACCAATTAATTAATATGAATCTCCAAGATACCCTGCCCAGATTTTCAACACCAAATGCTATCTATGCACAAAAAAGATCCAAATCTTGATATCATAATAATTGCATTAAGACTAAAAAGGCTATTCTAAATACCCTCCCTTTGCCAGGAAAATTCTTTTGAATGTTTTAATATTAGTTAAGATTAAAAAAAAGAATTACAAAGACATTCTAAAAATAAAAAAGGTAGGGCATAAAAGAGAATTGGAGGAATAGTTCTAGCAGTAAAGTTTAAGAACTCCAGTTGATTTTGGTGATTTATGAGTCAATCCTTTACAGATAGACATATTGGTGTTATTGTACAAGAACCTGTGGATAAAGGGGAGAAGCACTTTTACAACATCTTCAAAATGGAACCTTCTATAATCTTGGATGTTATTCCTCTTGCAGTGACCTTCTGAAATGGCCACCAGTGACCATCACTGATATTAAAGATCTTATTACCCAATAAACCCAGGAGAAGCATCTAGTGGTGGATTTTACCCTGTCCAAAATAAAGATAAATAAAGATTGGTGGCTCTAATATGGACCACCTTATTTACAAATTTTAAAATACTGGACAACTCCCATATGACTGGAACAAGTACCAATATACAGAAATAAATGAAGTAGACATGACCCTACAAATTAGGTCTATTACTTTATTAAACACAATAAATAATCTTTATACCAGATTTCTATGTCTAAAACTAAATATATATATAAGTGGATTGTGTATGAAATGAAAATATTATTGCTGAAGAACAGGCTGGATTTAGAGAGAAATGGGTACTATTAGATCATTGTTGCCTGGCAGAGAAGTATTGGGGGTTTTTTGCAACTTTTGTTGCTTTTAACTTAGCTTTGGATTTAATACCAAGAGAGTGACTGTGAATGTCTGAGACATTCCATATTGACAAAAGGTTGTTCATGCTTATTCGTCACTTTATTCTAACACCTCACAGAAAATTAGATGCCCTCTACAGGGATAGCTATCTAAGCCAGCTCCAATATACAGGAGTGTAAAACAAGATTGTGTATTATCCCCATTGCTATTCAATTTCTATTTAAATGCAATAATTCAATCCCTCTTTGTTTCAACCCACCATCTGCCCACTCTGGCTAATCATGCAATCTAGGTATTACTTATGTCAATGATGTTACGTCTATCTCACAGGTGAGAATAGGAAAAGCATTTAAGGTATTAGCTTTATTCTACAGAAAAATAATTATCTAATTATCTATTATCTAATTATCAGAAAACCAAGGTGTCAGTTTTTGCCTGGCATTATCATAAAATTCACAAATTGCAAATAAACGGGACTCCAATCAAACAGGTATGCACCTATAAATACCTTGGAGTGCAATTTCATACCTCCCTTAACTTAGCATGATCATTTTTCTTACTGAGCAAGGATTGCGCAGTGTACCTCAATAGCTAGTGTAAGATTTTACCACTCAAAAGGAGTCCATTCTGTTCCAGCAACTCAGTGTCTACCAAGCTAAGAGGTCCCACAGTTTTTCTATAGCTTCCAAATTTACTCCTTTACAAAGCTCCCTATCATCCAAAATAAGTTTATTACAATAATTTCAATATTCCTATATAATAAAATATGACATTATGATTAGAAACAGGGATAGTTCCAATAAATGCCAGAACACGATATATTTTTCTTATCTTCTGGCTAAAGTTAATTCTATTCCTTATAATTTTAGCCCCATCAGTATTGTTGTGGTCTGCCGGCGGTCTACAGGGCTGGCAGCAGAGTCAGACAGCGGGAAGGAACATGGGTCAGTGCTGTAGTTCCCAGTCCTGTGAGGAGGACTTGGATGAGGGATCTGCGTCCAACACAGAGATGGGGCCAGGGCCATCTGAGAGTTATGTGCTGACTCCAGAATCTGACATCAGTGAGGCAGAGAAACAGGGGGAGCATGTTCTCAGTGTGTGCCTGCCAGAAGGCAAGAACAGTTAAGACATAAGGGACAACTCTGGAGTAAGGCTTGGAGATGACTGGCCCCTCCCATAAGACATAAAGGAGAAGCAAAGGGACATGAGCCTTTGCAGGAAGCAACTTTGTTCGTTCTGGTCAGTTCTGTGTTGACTTTGTGCTCTGTTTCACCTTGTACAGCTAATTGGCAATTTAGTTGTTGGCAGCATTTCAAGGGAGATAAAGGTGAGTGTTTATCAGCCTTATCTCGAAAAACTGTGGCAGGCTTCTGTTGGACTATTCATAAACCGTTTGGGACTCATTACAGGCTGTGAATGCATATAATTCACAGCTGTTAAAATAAAAACAAGGTTTTTGAGAAAAGCGTGTGATTGTTACTGTCTCAGGAAGCCTTGGTCAGAACACGTATTTAGTGATCGTTTGAAATCATTATGGCTTTAAAAAGCTTTAAATAAAATTCAGTTACTGGGCTTCTCTATGGAAGATGTATGCACATTAGGATGTTAGAACTGCCCTTAAGCAATAATCTGGTATACAGATTTCCAAACAAGTCTAAGTAAGGTGTCATACTCCATTGTTTATCACTGCCCCCAAAACAGTCTCCTCCAGCCACATACTGATCATCAATTCCAATTTTAAAATTTTGTAAGACCTTCATTTTAGCCAGGCTAGAAATTATGCTCTCACCAAGTGCTTCTTGGATATTTTAAGAGTTAGGGTTAGGGTTAGATGAACTCCTATTCATCTTTGGTAATGTCCATGTGTTGATGGTTGAATAGAATCTCTGGGCCATATGCTATTATACTGTTCCCTCTGCGCAGGTATAGAATAGGTGGTACCTGGTTCAATAGTAGTAACTTTAAGAGGGACCTAGGAGTCCTAGTAAACACTTAAATACAAGCCAGCAGTGTGCTGCAGCTGCCCAAAAACCCCAATGCAGTCCTAGACTGCATCAACAACCTTCACATACCAAGATCATGTAAAGTATTAATGCCACATTATACTTGGAAAAGTGCACCCAACTGCAGCCACCACTATACAAAAAGATGTTGAGATTCTAGATAGAGTGCCGAAAAGAACCACAAAATTGATTACAGGTCTGGAAGCTAAAACACATGACAAATTGTTGCAGGAACTAGGTTTGTGTAGTCTAACAAAGAGAACTAGGGGTAGCATGATAGCAGTCTTCCAATATCTGAGAGGCTATCAAAGAGAAAAGGGGATAGACTTATTCTGCAAAACACCTGAGGGCAAGAAGAAATGGATGAAAACTTTTCAAGGAGAGATGCAACCTACAGCTAAGGAGAAATTGCCTGATGGTGAGAACAATTATTTAATGGGTGCTCCATCCCTTGAAGTTTTTAAAAAGAGATTGGACAGCAATTGTCCGGAATGGTATAGGGAATATTTAATCTGTAGAAGTTTTATTGTGTTATTTCCATGCATTAGTTGACCAGAATATTATATATTCAAAGTTTCTTTGTCATATACTTACTATCTGTTGAGTTTCTCATTGGATATGACTGTGTATAGTTATTCACACAATTCAGTAGCATTGGGCTCACAGAAACACAGTAATTTTCAAGTGTCTTTATCTGGGAAGGGCCTGGAGAAGTATCTGTTCGAAAGATTGCTTGACAGTATTCCCAGCAATTTGTTTGATGGCCAGCATAATTACAACAAACTGATCCCACTAAGGAAAAAAGAGAGAGATTTTATCACTTATTAATAAAAAATATATTCATTATTTGCTGATAAATTTGAATATACTATTCTGTTTAGAATCTCAGGAACTACCCAATATTGCTCTTAATACTATATAGATATGTTTGGCCAAAAGGTTCTATATTTTGAAACGTATTTGGCCAAAGACTACTAAAATTTAGAAGAAATGCAATCTGTTCTGCTTGAGTCAGTTTTACATATGTGAAGCAGATATATCATCTTGAAAAATTATTTTTAAAAGATAAAATAAAATCAAGGAGAGAATAAAAAATCAAAATTCTGGTGTTTTTTTTAAATAAGATACTTACTTTCATTTTTGTTAATACAACTAAAAAGAGTGTTCTAAAAATAAAAACAAAAAGTATAATTAACAGCTAATAGTGAAAAAAAAATCAATGGTACATATACATGAATATGTACCTGGTAAACAAGAGAATCAAAATAAATTGTACCTATATATATATATATATATTGCCACAGAATTCACAATATGCATTGGAAGCACATTCAAAATTTCATTTCCCAAAGCGAATAAAATATTTTAAAATATTAATTCAATATTTTAAATTTATGAATTAATCATAAATTAATTATGCTAGAAAAAAACAAAAATTCCATAAAACTATTTTAAATATATAGACTTTTTTTCAAGACAGGTTTTTTGTAATATATAAATTATAAGAAATGTTGTAAATGCAATGGATTAAAAATACCATTTTACAAATTCAATGGTTTTATTAATAATAATAATAATCCCTTTTTCTTTAGTTCTAATTATTAGTTGAAGCATTGTTTTCAAGTCTATTAATTTCCTTTTTCTTGTTTTATCCAACTATTTCCTGGCATTAATTAGATGTGCTTTATTTATAATATGTTCTAAAGTTGTGGGAGATGTTCTAATTTGATTATAAGTCTTTTTCTATAAAGGACCTAAAGGCTGCTTTCTCATTTATTTCTATACCACTCTATGGATACTACCCAAAATATAAACCTGTACTCATATTCATAACATAACTATATTTAAAAGTATAGTTTTAAATCACTAATTTTTCTATTACAAGAAGAAACTATTAATGAACTCAATCATAATCACAATATCCCACTCACTAGTTAAAAGAAAATACATCTTAAAAACTCAAATCTCTTTCACATCAAACTAAATTTTACTCCACTCTATAGTATTTTATTTTAAAATATTTTCTATTGAAGATTATCTAGCAACATTAAGAGATACTGATATATAATTTCCCCAAATCTAGAAAACTGAACTGGCAGTTGGTGTTGTAATGATTTTATCATGAAACTTATAAACAGACCTAAGATGTAACAATAGCTGTGCTATAAAAAAGTATATAAACATGTAAGAATAGATATATTGTGACAAATATGGAAACAAGTTACCAAATTTAAGTTTATCATCTTTTACATTTCTAAATATTTTTGAAATAACTCTAAATTAAGCTTAAGAGAAAAATAATGAAATGACATATAAGAAAAATAAAAGCAAACACAGAGAATAAGAATTAGGAAAAGAATGAGAAACGATCATTGCTTCACTCCTATGTTTGAAAACTTTCTTACCTTTCCTTTCTGTTCTCCAACAAAAATTGGTGAATCTCCTACAGTAATGTAGAAATCCAGAAAAGAGAAGGAAACACACATGATAGAAGAGTAGTATAATACAGAATTAGAAAAGATAAAGTTCAAGTTGAAGGCTATAGTTCAGAAGTATTCAAAATTATGACCTCAGTAACAGAAAAGCCCTATATTTTCAAATATGTATTTTCAGCAGAAACTGAACTATTATCAGCATTCTTAGTTTATTGGGCATAACTAGCTAGAATGTATCGTGTACATTTTAGTCCACTTTTGCAGAAGGACAAAAAAGCTTTAAGCAAAAATATATTTTAGGGTCAAAAACAGTATCCTGAGTAGTCAAAAAAACATTTATTTGCTTTCATCTTGCTTTTATTATTTTATAAATAACTCAAGTTATTGAACATATCTAATGTACTTCCTTCATCCTATTTTCTCCTGAACAACAAACCTATGAGATGAGTTGGGCTGGAAAAAGACTAGAACTCAGTCTTCTGCTTTCTAGTCTGGTACTTTAACCACTAGGCCAAATTGACTCTTATAGAAGAAAATTAAAATGGCATATAAAAGGAAATATCTTGGAATCCTAAAATAAAAACTTCTTCCAACTTTTTACTGCAGCTTCCAAAATTACATATTTGTCACTTGAGTTATTATATACATCTCTTGATATAACAATTTTAGCAATAAGCTTGCTGATCAAGAATCTATATAGAAATCTCTAAATTTTAAGAAGCTGTAGCCCCATGAAATTCCATGTTCATTATTATATTTCTTATTCACTGTTCTTTTTTTAATTGATTCTGTGAGATCACAGTTCTATTTAACATAGAACAGGTGAATTCAATGAGTAACTGACTCCAAGTAAGATAGTACTGAGAGTCAGATGAATCTTCATGTTGACTTATGAAGCAGAGATTGGTGCAGTGAACAATTCTGAACAGGAGGGGGCTGCAAATGGATCTGTGTACATTATATGTAAGATAATGTTTCTTTCAGCTTCTCAGAGTTTCAGAAATAGAATGTTCCTCTCAATGTGTTAGGCCATTATTGTACAAATAATCTTCAACTTATGACTACAATTGAACCCACAATTTTGATCATGTTATTGTGGTAGTTAAGCAAGACTTGCAGAGCTCAAAGACCACAATCCTAGCTCTCCTTTTTAGGGCCCCATGAGTCATTAAGAAACTGTAAGGGAAAGCTCAGGAAGGGAGGGGCCCTTGGGAGGCCCAGCACCAGTTCTGTTTGCTGCTGGGCCTAGCTGACTGAGGCCTTCTGATAAGCAGCAGATTTTCTCAGCCCTGTGACCCTAGCCAATTGAGGTCTTCTGGGAATGGGGAAAGAGGAAAAAAGCAAGTCTTCTTGGAAAAGGGGAGAGGGCCTAGCTGGCCAAGAGCTTCTGGGAGTGGGAGGAGGAAGTTGCAACATTCATAAAATAAGTGTACCATCAAATACCCAAATTTTGATAATGTGATCATCAGGAAGCTGCAATGGAAGAACTTTGGGTAGGAATTGTAAATCCCTTGTTCCATAGTAACATGGGTACTGAAAGAACAGTCATAATTTGAGAGCTATCTGTATGCCTATTTAACCATTTATAGTCCCTTCATCTCCAATAGATGTAAATACAAATTTTAAACTGTTCCTCCACCTCCCCGTTTGTTCTTTTTTTTTTTTTTCAATTATCCATGATTCCTTTGTCTGTTTAGATATCTGATATCTGATCTATGCCTGGAATGTGAAAAGACAACAGTGAATCCAATAAACAAAACCTAGAGCTCATACTCAGATGATTGTAGTAATATAAAACATTACAAGAGGCATTTTTTCAAAGGATTCCAAGGGCAGTTCTGACACTGCATTACGAAAAGGTGAGGCTGGGAGCAGGCTTTTGGCTTCCACTCCATTTTTTCACAGGGCAAAGCTAACCCCATATGGCCCAGCAGAAAGGAATGTTTTGGCATCTTCCAGTTCAAGAGGAACTGCTTTATTGTTCCTTCTGCTCTTTTTGCAACACAAAAGCACTCCCAATATGGCCCCTAGGACGATGCAAAGGAGATTTTAGGTGCATTACAATTCCTGTAAGTTGCTTTGTTCTTTTTTGCCATGTGAAACTTTTTTGCCAGCAGCCAGGCCAAGCATGTCTCAGAAGCAATGAGAGCAAGAAGGCAGTAAAGAAGGTCAACTAGGGCAGCGAACTGCGAGACAGAATGGATCTAGGAATATGGGGTGGTGAGGGTGACTGGGAGTGGTTTAGGGCAAATGTGGATTCTCATGGTCTGGCAAACAATCCGAGCCATGTGGTTCTGAAGCTGCTTGGCAAGGCAGGATGAATGTCAAAAGGGAGAGATGGATGAGGAGAGATAAATTAATATGGGAATCCCTTTAATTTACTGAAGTTCAAGGGCTGGAGGGACCTGGCCTGGAATAGCCTATATCAGGGTGAATCTTTGGCTAAAACTGGGGAAATTGTTTAATAATGCCAATGAGAATTGTAGTAGCTAAGTGATACGATTAGATTACATCGTGTTTTACCAGTCAAATTTCTTATCCTAATTTTAGTCATATGTCAAGGATAGGTAACAGATAATCAGAGTTGGAAGGGATCTTGTAGGTCATCTAGTCCAATTCCCCACCCAAGCGGGAGACCCTACACCATTTCTGACAAATGGCAGTCCAATCTCTTCTTGAAAGTCTCAAGTGATGGCGCTCCCACAACTTCCAAGGGCAAGCTGTTCCATTGGTTGATTGTTCTCACTGTCAGAAAGTTTATCCTTATTTCCAGGTTAAATCTCTCCTTGTTCAGTTTCCATCCATTATTCCTTGTCTGGCCTACAAGCGCTTTAGAAAATAGCTTGACCTCTTCCTCTCTGTGGCAGCCCCTCAAATATTGGAAGACTGCTGTCATGTCTCCCCTGTTCTCTTCACTAGACTAGCCATGCCCAGTTCCTATAACCGTTCTTCATATGTTTTAGTCTCCAGTCCCCTAATCATCCTGGTTGCTCTTCTCTGTACTTTTTCTAGAGTCTCAACATCTTTTTTATAAAAATGGTAGTGACCAAAACTGGATGCAGTACTCTAGGTGTGGTCTTATTAAGGCTTTACAAAGAGGTATTAGTACTTTCCTTGATGTCGATTGTATCCCTCTGTTAATGCAATTTAGGATTGCATTAGCTTTTTTGGCTGCACACTGCTGGCTCATATTTAGCTGGTTGTCTACTAAGACTCCAAGATCCCTCTCACAGTTACAGCTATGGAGCCTGGTTTCACTCAGTCTATATGTGTACTTTTGGTTTTTCTTGCCTAAGTGTAGGACTTTACTTTTCTCTACATTGAATTTCTGAGATAAAATATTTGTATTTTAACTTCCAATGATTATTACGGAATCAGTTATAAGTTGTGAACTACCATAATAGCAAAAGTCTATTTCGTGGCAAATGTTTAAATTACAATTCATCAAATGGTTTGGTAGTATTTCTTCAAATTAAAAGCAAATTTTCTAAATCAGGATTCTAGGAATAGAATCTTTTGGTTTAATCTAAAGCTTTGCAAAACAATAAGACTGTGATTAAAAAGGAAACTCTTTTGCCTAATCTAATCTAATCCAATCCTAGATTCTATTGTAATATCAACTAGCTTAATATCCAGTATGTAGTATCCATCAATACATCTGAGAAACAATGCAAAACCATTGCTACATTTTTTTTTCTACCCCCGGATACTTTTTTCACTATACCCAACACAAAAGTCAAGACATTCTTTACAAACATATTTTTTCTTACTTCACCACATTCAGTTTTGATTCTTTTTCTAAAAAAAATGATGCTATGGAAAAAGTTCAAATCATACTTTTTATGCATTTTAATAAAGAAGACTTTTATTTAGAAAGTAACTGCTAGCAAGAGAAAAGAACCTTTTTAAAAGTTACCAATTAGCTAAATCTCTAAAAGTATGTTTAAAAATACTGGACTTTATTACAGTAGTCTAGGATTTATGGCTTCCAACAAAAGTTTAGGAATTTCTATCAACAACTTTCTTTTCTTTTTTACCAACTTTCAGCCTAGTTCATACCACTCCTGGTAAATTTCTTTTTGCTTTCATTTTCAGCTAAAGTATTTGTCATGAACTCCTGTTTGAAAAAAAGGTCCATATAATATATTTCCCCTAAAGTGTTTATTTAAAAAAGTTTATTTAATAAATGGGAAGATTATAGCTGAATCTAAGGAGGGCTTCTGGAGGAAAAATTAGAATATCAAAGCCACTCCCTCCTAAAGTGAGGAACACAACACACATATATTCATCAATTCACAAGTACAAAAGTCTCTTTACCATTTTCAACAATGTTTTGTAAATAAGAAGCTAATAATAAATGGTATTGATAATAATTGTTAACGTGCTTTCGTATAGCTATAAGTTAATATCAAATCAGACAAATACTAAATATTAAAATCAAAACATTCATCACCTTAAAATGAAACAATTCTAATAGCTTAAAACCAGGACAGGAAAGAAATACATTGGGTATAAGAGTCTTTTTTATCATGGCTCCTGCCCTCTGGAACATCACTGGAGATAAGATCTACCACACCCCTTGGCCTTCTGGAAGGGTTTCAAAACTTGGCTCTACCAAATGGCTTGGGGCCCCCAATGAGGGAGTTAGCTAGTGGATTAAGAACACCCCTATCTCATTCATATAGTGCATCAAACTTACGTTGTCACAGTGGTGTCAAGTGACGTATCGTGACTTTTCTGCCCCTTTGCTAAACTGGGCGTGGGCATGACCAGTGTGACACATCTGGCCCATGGGCCATGAGTTTGACAACCCAATTTCCTGTTATTTTAAATGTTTTAGGGTTTTTTAATGTTTTAATATTTATTCTTGTGTTTATGATGTTGTAAGCCACCCAGAGTCACTCAATTGTGAAATCACCAGCACATACATTTAATTAATAAATAAGTACAACTAGTTCTCAAATTATGACTGGTAATTTAACAAAGTTCACAGTTACAAAAGCACAGGACAGATGCTCTATGGCCCATAAAGTACTTCTGGGCATCATAAAACAACATACTACTCTTGGCCACAAGATCATATTTCAGGCACTTGGCAAGCTGTTCATAGTTGCAACCAATTGTCAAGTGCCCTGCGATTATGAAATCCGTTCTCACATCATATCAAGGATTTCCCTTCTTCCATGCAGGAAGGGAAATCCTCCTGCACACCAGAGGGATAAGCCTAAAATCTGATGAAATACTAGAGAAGATTGACAGTTTTGAATTCTCATTCTGAGAGAAGGATGCTAGCAAAATAAGAGGATTGCAGAAGAGAAAGCTAAGGTTCAGAGCCTTTCAAAATGCTAATGTTTCAGCATTCTGAAATGTTGAGGCCCAAAGTCTTTCAAAATGGCAGTTTTACTAGCAATTTTTACTCAGAGGAAGAGATCTAGAAATCTCATGAAGGAACTTTCCAAACTATTTCAAGAATGGAGCTCACATGAAAGATAGAGTTAGGAAACAGAAAGATAAGTGGACCAGGGCATGGTGGGATGAACAGAGGGTCCATGTGCCAGTGTACCTAGGTGGCAGATACCTCTGGCCTGTACCAGATTTTCACATGCCCATGGGGGTCTGGCCTCTCTCATCCCAGGCACTCTTGCCTGCTTAACAACTGCAACAGGGAGTACTTGAATTGCAATTGTTAAGTGAGATCGTCACATGGACACCTTGCTTAATGACCGCAATTACTTATGACCAAAATTCCAGGATCCATTATGGTCATAAATCAAGGACTGCCTGTGCAAAGGCCTGGTGTAGAAATAATTTTCAGCTGATACTTACTTACAAAACATAGAGCCAGCTGCAAATGAACACAGATGAAATTCCATAATTGGAACAACTCTACTAAGAATGCCTTCTGTCAGGTTCCATAAATCAATTTCTGCTAATTCAGACCTAGTAAGAAGGCATCCTCACAAGGTAATTATCACTACATATTGCTCTTCAATTTACTTTCTTTTATTTCTCATTCCATGGCCATTTATAGTATTATTAAATCTAGTGATGTAGGATCTAGTCCACAAACATACTATAATAAAAGTCTGTAGCAGGGATATCAAACTCAATTTCATTGAGGGCTGCATCAGGTTTGTGTTTGACCTTGGCAGGCCGGGGTGAGTGTGGCTGGCCGCAACGACTTCCTGCATCCCTCTGCCAGTGAAAACAAAGCTCAGGGAGCCGCAGGGCTCCTCTCCCAAGCTCTGTTTTTGCTGGCAGAGAGATGCAGGAGGCTCTTGTGGCCAAAAATGGGGCTTACAAGGGCCGCACGCAACCCTCCTGACCTCCATTTTTGCTGGCAGAGGCATCGCAGGCCAGTCCTTTGCTGTTTCCAGGGCAGCCCTGCGGGCCAGATTTAAGCACCCCATGAGCCTTGAGTTTGACACCCCTAGTCTGTAATATTTTTATTGCAACGGACTAACAAAACCTTGACTGGAACATAGTCTTCCCTTGAGTGGTAGGGAAAAGAAACCTGGAAAGGTGCACGCAGAAAAACCAGTTTTAGGCTGGGCAAAGTAGTAGAGGGAGCAAGATTAGCATGGTTGGTAATAAGAATGAACAGTGCCAATAAGCATCCCATTCAAGGTTTGAGCAAGATTTTAAAAACATAATATGCCTTATTCAAAACATCAAATACAAAAGAGAGCTTATATCAGTTCTCAATCTTTTCTTTACTACAGCCCCCCCTTTAAATACCTTTTATGACCATGGCCATGGAGCCCAAAGACTTAATTTAAGATTTAATTCATAACATTTCTTTAAGCCTTCGCAGATCACCTATGATGATATTGTAATCTGCCAGGGGTCTGCGGACCACAGATTGAGAACTGCTTGGTTATATACATCAAATCAAACACAAGCATTTATGGCTACAATCTTCCAGATTACAAGAACATATAATTCATGATTCAAGGTTTTGTTGGTGTATAGGTTATATGAAATTATTATATTAAAAAGAAAATAAAACATTACAGAGAAAAGAGGAAGAAGCAGGGAAAAATACAGGTTCACTTTGCTGACACTTATTTGCAAATCAGATTGCCAAAAGCCAACCTAATAGTGTTAAAAATAGCATGATCTTCTTCTACAAACTATAGACAGACTTTATAATCAATCTATACCAAATAAGGCTACTTATGAAGAAAATAATATCTGCAAAATGCTTACCTCATATTCTTTCCTGCAAATTTTCAAGATATCGTTTTTTGAAGATGCCTAAAATAAATTTTATTATCAATATGTTTTTCAGACTATTCAAAAACAGAATTTAGAAAGTATATAGATAAGAATCGTGATAATTTTAAAATGTCACCAGCTATATTTCTACTATAGCACCAAATCTGAATCATTTACTGTGCATGATTCTAAATCTTGGAATTTAATCAATCCTTCCAGTTCTGGTGGATGGTGACAATAGCTGGGAGATGCTAATTAATTTAGGAACTCAGATGCTCACAAAAATAGGGAGGAAGAGACTTGAGAAGGTGCCTAGTCAACACAAAATAAACACATATACAATGTCTAAGATTCCCCCCTCCCCGTATGCTGCTAAACATATCTTCTATCATACTAGCCATAGAGGCACGATAGTGAATGTGGTCCAAGAAAATACAGAGAGCTGCAGGTTCCTCACCTTTAATCTTAATTTTTCAGTTATAAATAAAACTACAAGACAGAGTAAGACTCTGAAAACCACTTCAGTGCAATGGTTAAGGTGCTGACCTAGAAATCAAGAGTCTGGCTTCCCTTAAGTATAAAAGCTGGTTGACCGACTTTGGGCGAGTCACTCGCTCTAAGTCCAACCCATTTCACAGGGTTGTTTTGTGGGGAAAATGTGATGCAGTGAGGGCAAGGGTTCATTTTCCAAGCTTGTGGGTTGGTTTCCAACTGTTTCATTACCAGGCTAAGTAACCTCTTCAGCAGAGTTAAACTCCACCGAAGATGTTACCTAGTTTAGTAACGAAACATTCAGAAAGCAACCCACAAACTCAGAGAATGAACTTTCATCCCCATCCTACGTCCAAGCTACAGATATTCGCCACTATTGTAAATATGAAGCAGTATTTAATAGGTTCCCCAGTGTCAGTTACAAGAAAAAATTAATAATTTTATATATAATAATTATTGTCTGTTCACAATATCCCCCCTCCATGTAAATACCCCCTTGTTGTGGGAGAGAAACTTATATGTTCTGTTAAGGTTGAGAGCTATGCTGGAGGTATGCCACTAGAGTCACACAAGTCAGACAGGTCTCAACTAAGGAGCCAGATTAAGAGTATCCACAATCCATTTACCATGATAAGACAACAGAAAAGGAATTCCATACCAGATTGGTCATCACGTAGGTTAACATGAACCACGGCAGTTGCTGTCCCTGGGCAGCTGTCAAAAACTGAGTGACAGGGCTGGAGAAAGACCCGGTGATCTACTTCACAAAAAACTTGCCAAGAAATTTCTATGGAAAGGTTCTCAAACATATCAGATTGGGTTCCCAACGACAGGACAAAAGAAATCTTAGTTGTTGAGGGAACCAGAGGTGTTAGCAATTGTCTGTGTTGTACAGAGATATATCAGATGGCCACCTGGAATGTCGGAGTAATGAGGCAGGGTAAATTAGATATTGCCAAATGAGAGATGATCAAGTTGGAAATTGATCTCTTTGTGTCAGTAAGCTACACTAGTCAGACAGTGACTTTTTCTAGTCTGAGGATTTCACTGTCTATTATTCAGGACGTGATACCAGGAAAACAAATAGAGTGATGTTTATCATAAAGCAAGAAACTTGCTAGAGCAGTGGAAAGCTTCTCAACTGTCGACGACCAAATTATAACCATCAAAATTCATGCCAATCCCCTCAACATCACAGTTATCCAAGTTTATGTCTCAACAATTGCTGAGAGCTTGAAATAGAGGGCTTTTATGCCATAGATCAAGAAATTCTGAAACAAGTACCCCAAAAAAGACATTGTTTACATTTTGGGTGACTTCAGTGAAAAAGTTGGCCAACAAGCAGAGACAGGCATCACTGATCATTTTGGGCTGGTGAGAGGAACAATGCAGGTGATTGTTTGGTACAATTTTCCCAAGAAAATCTATTTAGGACCATAGTTACATGGTTCAAACAGCACAATTGCCCCTTATACAGTTGGACCTCACCAAATAATCAGTGAGATCCATAATCAGATTGACTATGTCCTATGCAGTTACACATGGCCAGTTCAATCCTTGTTCTTGATATATCCAAGTGCTAAATGTGACTCAAATCATTAATTGTTGCTGGCAAAGATTAAAGTCAAACTAAATCAAAAAGGCATCAGCAAAGTTTGATGTCAACAAAATCACTACTACATATACAACTGAGGAAAAAAATAGATTTGAATTCACTGCTAAGAAGACGCCTGATAGCAGGAAATTCAAACAACCATTATTAGAATTGCAAAAGAATACATACCATATAAGAGCTAGACAAAAAGTGCAAGTTGCTCTCAGATGAAACCATCAAAATAGCTGAGCAAAGAAAAGCAGCCAAGAAAAGAGGCAAATGGGAAGAAGCAAGAAGACTGAATGTAGCTTTCCAGAGGCAAAGGAAGGACAATGAAATTTACTGGGACAAAGGACCATATGAACAGTTATATGAGGAACGCTTTTGTGCAAATCAAAAAGATATAAGCACCTTTTGTTGCTCATAAAGGTGTCATTAAAAACAAGCAAGGAAAAGAACTGTCCAACCAACAAGGCATCAAGAATTGGAGAGAATATACAGAAGAACTGTATACAGTTAGCAAAGGGGCCCAGCCTAAAGATGACAAGAAAATAGAAATAGAATTGTCTATCCTTGAAGAGGAGATCATATGGGTGGTAAACTAACTGCCAAACAACAAGGCTTCAGGTGTTGAAATTATCCCTGCAGAATTACTGAGAGCTGTATCACCAGTGTCATTAGAGACATGTCATCAAAGGATTGGAAACACTCAGTGTTTTTTCCACTGCTTTCCACTTTTTTCCACTGCTGAAAAAAGAGAGACACTATAGATTGCTCTCATTATCGCACAATTGCTCTCATTCCTTACATCAGCAACATTCTATTTAAAATTATACAACAATAGCACCAACCTTCAAAATGGATTACTAGATTACCAGCTTCCAAAGGGGTCATGGGACCATGTTGAAATCGGCACTGGATTATGGAAAAATCTTGTGAATATCAAAAGATCATTTAAATGTTTCATCAACTATAAGAAAGCCTTCCATTGTATGGATCATGAGAAGTTATGGAGAGTCCTACAAACTTGAGAATATCAGCAGATTTGGTCAAGTAAGTGAAATCAATGTACACAAATCAGAAAGCCACTGTGTGAATACCATATGGAGACACTGATTGGCTTAAGATAGAGAAAGTTGCATTCCTTCCCCTTTCTTAATCAACCTGTATGTTAAAATGCCTCATGAGGAAACTAGATCTTGAAAAATCAAAATTCAGGATAAAGATTGGAGAAAGAAACATCAACAATCTTTCATATACTTTGATATACACTTTCCTTATTTCTCTAATGAATTTAATGTTTTGAAGAGATTGCTCAAAGTGGTAAATGCAACACAAACATAAAATGTCAGATTGCACTCTGTTGCACAGAAATGATGAACATGAGCCAAATATGGAAAAAAAAAGGCATCAGTTTGACAACCAAAGGTAGGTTAGTTCAGGGATTCCCAAACCCTGGTCCGTGACCAACATCAGGTCCTAGCATGCCAGAAACCGGCCACACCAACAAGTGATGCCCCATCCATGGGATGCAGTCAGCATGAGAAGCCTTCAGTTGCGGAAAAACCACTCTCCAAAAGATTGTGCCCAAAAGATTGTGGGTTGCTGGGTTAGTCTACTTTATTGTGTCCTCCATAGCTACATATAGTTGTGAAAGTTAGACCTTAAAACAGCAAGAAAGGAAGAAAATTGATTCATTTGAGCTAGGGTGCTGGAGAAGACCCCTGCATATTCCTTAGACAGCATGTGGAGGAATTCACTGGAGAAAGCAATTATGAAGAGTTAGTGATCCAACATGATGGATGAACACTATCAAAGCTGACATCACCCAGAGCATAGAAAAACTCAAAGAAGCAGTGCAAGGTCGAAGATATGGAGAAACCTGAGCCATAGAATCACCAAGAGTTGGACATGACTCAACAGATAATATCATCATTATCACAATATGGAGTCTCAGCTGCCAAATCTTTAGCTCCTGTTGGCCTTCATACACAATACATTCTTCCCAAGAACCTAGGATGTTGTAATGTATCCATGTATATATATGTGGAGTGTGACCTTTTGCAATTCACAGATGGAAGTTTTGTCAATGTGCAGATTTTCTAACTGCTGTTCAACTTTTTTGATATGGCACACAGTGTGCTGATAACCACTGGGACCAATAAGGTACATTTATGGTATAATATTTTAATTTTCAGATCTTGATACTTTCTGATTTGCTCAAATTCTTTGTCTTCTTTTCTATTACTCCCTGGTATTGTCACATCAATTATTAACACCCTTTTCTTTTCAACCTTAGTTTTATTTGATGTGTTATGAGCCAAGATCAGCCTTTATTTAGAAATCCCACAATGTATTCATTTTCAGCTTTTCCAACTTTCTCCAATTTTTCATTAAAAAGCATATCATAATTTTTACAGGTACTATAGTGAATCATTTTGGCAATTGGTTTATATCATTATTTGAAGAAATACCACTCACCTGCAAGCAAGAATTAATGGCACTATAAAATAAAATAACTGAAAATGAAAAAGCTAAAGAGTTGTGGAACTTCAGAACAATTGTTATTTTTTATCTGCAGAAGCAGAATCTGAAAACAACTTTTTGTAGATTTCATTTTAAATTTCCATAGAAATAATTTATTCAGAGTTCAGATTATGTAGAACATGGAATATAGAATAACAGAGTTGGAAGGCACCTTGGAGGTCTTCTAGACCAGAGGTCGCCAACTGGCGGTCCGTGGACCACTGGTGGTCTGTGAGAAAATTTTGGTGGTCCACAGCGCACCTTTGTCTGCAACAGAGGTGATACCAGTGGCAGATGGACTGATGCGCACACGGGAGATTGCGGCATTGGAGCCCTTCCCGGGTGTTCCCTGGCCTGCGAGGGGGTCGGAAAGGAACTTCTGAACTGGTGCTTGGTGATGGGAATCTGATGTCCGGAGGCCAATGAGCCAAGTGCTGAAGACCAGATGGCTGGCGGGGAGGTGGGGCAATCCTGCAGTTTCCCTAGCAAACCCGTGTCGTGGTTGCTGCCTCCTGCCTCCGCGCATCGAGGAGGCCAAGCAGCAGCAGGAAGAGCACGGACCTCCTGAGCCGCAGGAAGCAGCTGCCAGCAATGCCTTCAGATGAAGATGTTGCGAAGGGGAGGCTTGACCCCCCCCCCAGGAGCCGCAAAGCGTTCACTCCCCCTCTGGCATCCGCCAAGCCTCCTCCCACTATGGTTCTCTTCCTCCTCGCCAGAAGTGCTCACATGCCTAGCGGGAAGGAGGGTTGGCAGCTGCCAAAGGGGCAGTGAGCGCTTTGCAGCTCCTGAGGGGATTGAGCCTCCCCCTTGCAACATCTTCACCTGAGGGCATCGCTGGCAGCCACTCAGCCTCTTCAATGCACAAAGGCAAGAGGCAACACCAGTTCAGAGGCTGCTTTCCCCCAACCCCACCCCCTTTCAGGCCAGGGAACACCTGGGAAGGGTTCCAATGCCGCGATCTCCTGCGTGGACATCAGTCCATCCACCGCCAATATCACCCATTGTTCCACCTCCCTGCCAGCCATCTGATCTTCAGCACATGGTTTGTTGGCCTCCGGACATCAGATTCCCACTACCCAGTACCAGTTCAGAGGTTCCTTTCCCCCACACCTCCAGGGACAGAGGGGGGAGGGGAGAAAGAGAGATGAGAGAAAGAGAGATGAGAGGTCCCGGTGTTTTATTTTCTGTGGGAAATGGGTCCAAATGACTCTTTGAGTATTTAAGGTTGCAGAAACAGGCAGCCAAGCTAAGTGCCTGAAGGATCCCATCTCGTCAGTGGGAGTCTAGGCACTTCAGCGAGCAGCATGCTGGATTCACATTAGTGGTCCGTGGGATTTAAAATTATGAATTTGGTGGTCCTGAGGTCCAAAAGATTGGAGATCCCTGATATAGACCGATCTCCTAGACTTTCCTTGGACTTGATAGAATGGATATACCTGATCATAGAAAGAATAACAGAACAACAGAATAGAATTGGGAGTTGGAAGGGACATCAGAGGCCCTCAAATCCACATGTCTGGTCCAACCAACATATTAAGCCATAGGTAATTCTATAGTTTTGATTAATAAGCAAGTTCTCTAGTTCTGATTACTATACAGTAAGAAAGTGGGACACACTTCTCCTTAACCCCTTTCTGTAGATTACTGTTTTTGTAAGAACACATCCACTGAAAAAAACCATTTTGTGAAAGGAACTTACATGTTGCAATGCATCTTGTTCAAAACAATTTGTAGCAGAAAACATGGAGAAAAGACTTCAAAGAATAAAAATGTTTCAGAAGGCAGATCTGTGCTGTTAAATTTTGCTATTTTTTTCTTATATTAGCACCATATATACATCCCCCAAAAGAGATAATCTAACAACACTTACCTGTTTACATGCTTGTCGACATTCTATTGCAATGGCTAATTCACAGCACCCTAAGCCAACCCAGCCATCAGATTTTTTCAAAACACCTTTGAAGAAAAAAAATACATTATGAAACCATTCTTATATATATATATATATTTTAAAGGTATATCCAACAACTCAAAGGCAACATTTTCCAAAACATTGCACTACAAATCTAATATACTGCTGCCAAAATAAACCACACTAAATTTAGGAGGCATTCTTTGTATATGGGTTTGGAAGTGCCTAATTTCTCAATCCACCCTGGAAAGGCCTTTGTTCACACTCACTTTTAACACCTGCCTCTAACAATGGATTAGTCTCTATACAGATCCCTTTCCAGGAAAATTTGGGCTGCACAATGCCACACAAATTGAAACTGTAAGCCTAGCTTCCTCTCCTCATTATACAGAGAAATTTGCAGTTCTTGATTTTTTTCAATACTCACTGGATTGTATAAAAATTCTGCATTTCCCTATAATTTTGTCACCCTAACCATATCATGATATATACAACATGCAGCAGCACCCATTCTATAAGATATTGTAGAGATAATGCTGTTTCACATGACTCATGCTGGATTAGGATACTGTAATTTCCAATTACCCTATTTTTCAGAGTATAAGACACTACGAAGTATAAGATACACATTAGTTTTGGGGGAGAAAAATAAGAAAAAAAAATCTGTCTCTGACTACCAGCATCCATCGGTATTCATCTGGCTAGCATCCTTAGCAAACAGCCTGGTCAGCTTCAGCACATTATCGCAGCCTGATTCTGCACAAGCAGCTGATTGGCAGGAGGATTGGCCTCCCAGAATACCCCAATCAGCTGTTCCCAGAGAACAACAGGTTCGCTGGTTGTGAGCGCGCATGAACCTCTTTGGGGCAGAGAGGCAGCTTCTACCATGCAGCTGATCTTTTGGGTGTCGCATTTTTGGGCTGTTCCAGGCAGCAGCGATAATCCTGAACAGAGGCCAAAAACACAAGGCACGGAGGAGGCGATGGTCTGTGGCAATCCCTGCAACCTGGAACAGGTCTAAAATGTGGCGCACGGAAGACGAAAATGGTCAAAAGGTGGGGGCCAGCAGGTGGGCGGGATTACATTTAATGTATAAGAGGCACCCTAATTTTCACCCTCCTTTGGGTGGGGGGAAGTATGTCTTATACTTTGTAGTATTCAGTTTGATTTTTAGATTTAAATTTTTTAGACATTTTTTAATCCTGCCACTATTATTTTTATAAATAACTCAAGGCAGTGTTCATATCTAATACTCCTTCCTATTCCTATTTTCCCTACAACAACAAACCTGTTGGGCTGAGAAAGAATGACTGATTCAAAGTCATCCAGCTGTCTTTCATGCCAAAGGCCAGAAATAGGCCAGGATAGAAACTCTTTGGTTTCTTAACCACTGAAACAAACTGCTTCTCTAAATAACTACACTTAATTTTTAGCACAGTACATTATCTTAGTAATATTTTCTTTAATGCTTGAAATTTAATGAAATATTTAATTTTTAGTTAACCCTACTACTTTTTATAGATTTGATTTTATAACAGTTTATGTTTTTTAGATTACTATCATTTAAGACAAAATTGAGATTGGAAGAAACCCCCCATCTTTAAAAAGGGAAGAAGGGGGAACCTGTAAAATACAGACCTGTTAGCTTAATATTTGAACTAAATATAACTGGCAGCATGACCATACCCCAAAATACCATAAATAGCTCTAGGTCAGATTGGAGAGTACTCAAATATAGAATAGAATAGAACAGAATAGAATAGAACAGAATAGAATAGGATAGGATAGGATAGGATAGGATAGGATAGGATAGAATAGAATAGAATAGAATAGAATAGAATAGAATAGAATAGAATAGAATAGAATAGAATAGAATTCTTTTATTGACCAAGTGTGATTGGACACACAAGGAATTTGTCTTGGTGCAAATGCTCTCTGTATATATAAAAGAAAAGATGCATTTGTTGAGAGTCAGGAATCCTAAGGTGCAACACTTGATAATAGTCATAGGGTACAATAAGCAATCAAATCATACTAGGAGACAGTCCATATAAATCGTAAGGATACAAGCGACAAAATTACAGTCATATAGTCACAAGTGGGAGGGGATGCACGACATCCAGACACTATAGCTCTGTTTGAGCCCTGTATGTTCAGCATATTTTTAATGACCTAAATGAAGATACTGAGAAAATGATTATCAAATTTGAAACTGAAACAAAATTAGAAATTGCTGGCATTTTAGAAGAGAAAGAAAAGATTCAAAAAATCGATACAAACTTCAAAATGAAATAGAAAAAAAATATTAATTCCTGTACTTGGAAAGAAAATTGGCAATTTGTTGCCAATTAAGCAAAAGCTCATTCCCTATGGCTTCTCACTTAGATATCTATGCCAACTGGTATATGATGATGCCATGTGTATGGTTAAAAAAATAGTTGATGCAGAACACAAGAAGGAAATGGCTCAAGCACTTTCTTTCTTTCTTTCTTTCTTTCTTTCTTTCTTTCTTTCTTTCTTTCTTTCTTTATTTATTTATTTATTTATTTATTTGATTTGCCAATTGTTTACAAGATAATAAGTATAAGTGTATACATGGTTGTGAATACATGAAATGGGTACATATAAGAAAAAATAAAAGAATAAGAGAAACAATAGGACAGGGACGGTAGGCACGTTGGTGCGCTTATATTTATGAATGGTGCCCAGCCTATTGTTTACATAAAATTATGTTTACAAACACATCTTTCCACTCTGCAATACTGGATGCCAATATGGAAAAGAGAAAAATGTAATGGGTGAAAAGAATAACCATGAACAGAAGAAAGAATCATTTACTAAGGCAATGACCAAATAAAAGAAAGCTGAGTCTGAGGCAGAACAGTAATCCAAGCAAGTGTCTCAGACAAGATCTTCCTTTGCTCTAACAAAAGTAAAGGGAGAGAGGAGGGAAACACATTCAGGCTTGTAAGATTCTGCTATTATAACCTTATAATAAAGGTTGCACTGGTAATCCTGAATTTACGACCATTCAGTAGAGGTATGGCAAGCAACCCCAGAGTCATGCAGCCTTGCTTGCCACCCAGCATGGTAGGGTACAAGGCGGTAAAAGGACAGATATGGGAGCGGAAACAGGTTTGGAGGGGAGAGTTGGAAGCAGTTCCTTACTTTACCAAGGCATGGGGCTAGGTATGACCAAGCCCAGAATAGCTTGGATTGAGGTAGGTACTTACTTAATGACCTAATGATTCTTGATTAATCATCACGACCAGGGAAAGCTGGGATTGTTGTCATACATTGGTGCAATCATATAACATTTCAGTGTACAACCTCACCAACTTACTATTGCAACTCTAGTCCCAATTGTGGTCATAATTGAAGGACTACCTGTCCTCCAATTGTATTAGTATTCATGACTTAATTTCCTAGTCTGATCTACATTGGAGGCTAACAATTATAGAATCAATGGCTTAGGTTTTTCTAAGCTGTACTTTTTATGAGCAAGCAGACACTGAACTATACATACTCTAATAAAGGTGGTCCACAAAATTTAATCTTTTTCAGCTATTACTGAGGGAAAACAGTGCTTAATATTTGGCACAAGTTGTGAGCTTTTGCTATGAAGTCTTACAAAAGCCTTGTGGATTGAAACTATCAGCAAGTTTAGCAAGTCAAACTTCTATGTTTTCTCTTCTTTAACACTGTATGCCATAAAGCTATCACTGATTTTTCTTATTCTGATGCGCACTCAGCAAAATATTATAATAAACTAGCAAGCAAATTAAATTAGTTTTATATATAGTAGTTTTAATAATTTTAGTTAATGAGATCAGCTCAACAGGTTTTATAGGGATTGTATCTGTATTTTTATGCCGTTTTGTATTAGGTGTATTTTATACAGTTAAAATGTGTATGAAATAGATATTTTTCAATATTTTTCTTTTTTCCTTGCTCTGGACATTGACTGTAATAAAGTTTATTCTGCTTGTTGTTAAGAGCATTAACAAAAATATTTTCTTGGAGGAAGAAATCAATAGGGACATATGAAAGAAAGCAGAAAGCAGATTGTTTCCATTCCTTTTCTGAGCAGCGCATCCCATTCCTTGTCTAATAGGTGCACTTGGTTATAACCTTCAGAAATCCTCTGGTCTCCTCCAGGTTGCATGGAACAGGTGCATTATTTGAAAATGGCAGGAGCATCATTCTCATAATGCCTAATTCTCTAAAGTTACAATTTCTTCTCCAAACAGCAAGATTATTATCATTTAAACTAATTTCTTCTTCGTGAAAGAACGGGGCATACAGCTTGCAGAAGGAATACAATCCATGGCTTAGAAAAGAAGTGAAACATGCGACTTAGAGAAAGAATGAAGATCGTGTCTTGGAGAATGGTATGAAGAAACAAAGTTTCATGAAATGCGGTGGAGTCTAAGAAGGAGCAATTGGAGCTTTGTGCAATGGTGCTGGTATGATTGCCTTTGGTATAGGATTGAGAGGGCATTTTTTTGTGGCGGCAGCAGCAGTACTGAAGCTTAAGTAGTGACTCGGAGGCAGTAGCTAAGATCTTTGGCCTTAGGCCCTAGACCTCTAATCAGCCCCAGCCACAGTACTGTCACTTAGGCCATAGGGTCTAGACCTCTATATCAGCTCCAGCCCCAGTACTGTTATCAGTTGTCATTGTGCAAGGGAGCCAAAAGGGCATATAATGGGTGGGAGATAGTGGTAGCAGTCCCCCTGCAGTTGTTAAGTGTGGGTGGGCTGTCAAAATACTATTGATCCTGTGACGGTAGTGGTACTACAATGGCTATAACTTTGGGTATGGATAAGTCCACTTTTTTAGCACTGTCGTAATTTTAAACAGTCACTGAATAAATGTTCATAAGTGAAGTTACACCTGTTCCATGGAACAGAAAGGAATGATACATAGGCAAAAAAATGTGCAAGGAAAGAGAGGCTACTAGGTACCTATGCATATATCTATAGCCACAGTTGTGATCAATGGTACCATACAAGAGACCTATATATTAAATTCTATGCAAAAAAATTAGTTGGTATCTACTGCACAGTTAAGCTGCTCATGTAAAAAAAGAAACCCAAAAAAGTACAAACCTGATAACCAAAACATGAGTTCAACATCCTATTAAGTTTATACATAATAATGCTCTTACCTGGCAAAGAGGAATTTATACAGCCCCAAACCTCTCTCTGTAAAGAACAATTTTATCATTACTAAGTAATAAAACAGAAATTTAAAGAAATATTTAAACAAGATAAATATTTGTATTGGAAACATTAGCATACTTAAAAGTATATGAATTAGTAGCGATTAAAGATCAGGCTAGAAACTTGGAGACCATGAATTTAAGTTCGCCAAATTGTACTTGGTTTGGGAAAAGCTGTACAAATTTTTTTCCATATACAGGTTGTCAGAAATTAGAGGGTAAATTAATTATAACCTTCCTGAGACTTAACTAAGAAAGCTGTATGTACATAGAATACACAGAATGACAGGGTTGGAAGCGACTTTGGAGGTGCAAACCACTGTCGAGCAGAAGATCTTATACTATTACACCAGATATGGATTGCCCAACCTCTTCTTGAAAATGTCCAGTGAAGGAGCACCCACAATTTATGGATTCCACTGATTAACTGTTCTCTCGGTCAGGAAATTTCTTCTTAATCCGAGGTTGGATTTCTTTTTAACAAAATTCCACTTACTACTTGTCTTGTCCTCAGGTGTTTTGGAGATCAGCCAACCTTGCTCTTCTCTATGACAGCCCCTCAAGTACTGGAAGACAACTATAACATCACCCCTAAATTTCTTCTCTTTGTTAGAGTAGACATACCTAGTTCCTGCAACAATTCATCACACAGTTTAGCCTCCAGACCAGAGATAGGGTTCAGCTGGTTTGGATCAGTTCGGGTGAACCAGTTGTTAAAATTCTGCCCAGTTTGGCAAACTGGATAATCCCATCAGCGACTGGCCCCGCCCCTACCCATTTTTGGCCTGTTTTTTGGACCATTTTTGGGTCATTTTCTGCGCCATTTTCCAGGCTGTTTTCAGCCATTTTTCAAAAAATGGCCAAAGCAGGCCAAAAAATGAAGATTTCAAACCTTCCGTTTTGGCTGTATTGGGGCCCATTTTTCAGGGATTTTTTCAGGTAATTTTTCAGGTAATTTCAGGCTGGGTTTTTTGCCTGAAAAACAGCCAAAAACAGCCCAAAAATGCCTGCAAAATGGGCCAAAAACAGCAAAAATTGAAGGTTTGAAATCTCTATTTTTCAGCCATTGTTCAGCCCATTTTTCGGCCATGTTCAGGCCATTTTTTCACCTGAAAAATGGCCAAAAATGGCCCAGAAAAGGCCCAAGAAAACAGCCCCAAAACAGGAAAAAAAGAGACTGAAAAATAAAGATTTCAAATCTTCAATTACCTCTCTTGAAGCTGTACAAAATCTGGATTTGAAAGGAGAAGAGGAATTCATAGCTTGTGTGGGCACACACTTCAGACCTCTTAATATCTCACATCCATTGTGCTTTTTCCTGCCCTGCTGCACAAATCTTTTAAACATTTGCTGGCAAACACAAAGTGAGCCTTCACTCCAAAGCATATTCCACCTTCTGAATTTGAATTATTACACAACCATATGAAATAGAATAAAATTGCATACTAAGCATAGTAACACCTGGACTATAGCAAAACTTTGTTGGAAAAAAAATGATATAAATTCCTATACCCCATATATAGATTACATTCCACAAATGTAATGTCTTTGGGTTGATTTAAAGCCAAGATATGAAAATAAGGAAAACAAGAAAACTTCATCAAAAACTTGAATTGCCGTAATGTGGTTCTCCTAAAGCCCCTTGCTTCCTTCTTTGCTCCAATTACAATTTCTATACCAATAAACTTTACATCCAGTTTTAGAACCAATTCTGAGAAAATAAGCTTGAAAGAGGGTCAAAAATCCTTCCACCCACTTGGACTTTTCCTCATGTCAGTACATCTCTTTGCAAAACAGATTGTGCTTTAAAACACATATCTGTCTCTAGCACATTTAGTTGGACAACAAGCAGCCTCTTTGGAAAGAAATCAAGGAAAGGAGGGAGGAAAACCAAGAGATACCCCGCCCCCCAAAGTAATGGGTGGGGTAGGGAAGGAATCTTAAGTATCAGTGTAAAAGTCAATTTTTTCCAGTGATAACAGTTCTAGAATAAATCAGATCAATAATAATGTCTGTCCATGTATCTGTCCTGTTCAGCTTTTCATCATTATCTGACTATTCCAGAATATAAATAAAGACAGAGGAAGACAGTTTTATAATGGGAGAACTTTGTGTCTATTTTTAGGGCCCCATTCTATAGATAAAGAGAATGGAGGACAATTTTTATGATTGAGAGAATTTTGTGTCTATTTGTAGGGCCAGAATGATCACAGCTCAATGACAGAACATAGATATTTTACATTCAGGCAAAGCAGAGCTGAAGAAAATTCTGCTGAGATCATTAAGAACTTCTTCTCATAAATTATGGTCCATGAAGGTGGGAAGACTAGTGATTCTTAGATGCCTTTCTATATTTTTATGCATAAAGCATGTTTCTATTAGAGTCTTCCTTCATAGATATGCTGCTCAGGATAATCTGTAATATGTTTTTTAAAGGAGACTAAAGCACAGATCCTAAAAAGGATCTTAATTTGCCCATTTTTGACAGGGTTTTTGAAACTTGCAATCCTAAAATGTGTAGACTTCCAGAATTGCCCGGACAGCATTCTGGAAGTTGAAGCCTACACATCTTAATAGTTGCCAAATTTGAAAAACACTGATCTATCAGAACATCTAGCTCAGAGGTATCCAACCTTGGCAACTTTTAAGACTTGCGGACTTTAAAATGGGCCGAAAAGCGAGTGAGGCAGGGTCAGCCAGTGGTGGGATTAGCCCGAACTGGTTTGAACAGGCTGAATCCCACCTCTGCCTTTGAGGCGAGTGGCAAGAGGCAGGGCTGGGTGTGATGAATGACGTCAAGTTGGCCATGCCCACCCAATCACATGATCGCCATGCCACACCTACCCAGCCAGTCATTAGGGCAGAGAACTGGTTGTTAAATTATTTGAATCCCACCACTGTTCCAGACCCCTTATCATCTTTCTTGCTCTGCTGTAGATCAACACTCCCAAATTATCTCAATTAATAGTACTCTTAATGTTTCCAATTTTTTTCACAGTACACCTAGGCTGAAAAAAATACCGAACAGTTGTGTTTCCTTTGGAAATTTAAAATACCCCCAAAGCACCTATGATTTCACTGGGATGCCACTGCACACAATTTGGGAACTACGGGTCTCGATAATTTGGATGGTTTGATGGAAGTTCAGTAGGGAAGGGGTCACCTGCTCCTCTCCAGAACAGAGATCAAGGTTGGGGGCTGCTGCACTGGGTTTTTGTCCTAACTTGTGTTTCTTTTCTCTGCTAGGTAACAGCAAGACATTGAGTAGAAATATGTGCATGGGTTGGAGGCCACTAGACGGGATCTATCTATCTATCTATCTATCTATCTATCTATCTATCTATCTATCTATCATCTATCTATCTATCTATCTATCTATCTATCTATCTATCTATCCATCCATCCATCCATCCATCCATCCATCCATCCATCCATCCATCCATCCATCCATCTATCTATCTATCTATCTATCTATCTATCTATCTATCATTTATCTGGATAGCTAATGTATACAGTTCAGCTGACTTTAGTGTACTGAATGCAAAGTTATCAGGAGATTCAAACCTACTAGTTATTTGGAGGAGTGACTTATTGCATTGCATAAACAGATAATTTAACCTGGAAAAGGGAAGATACGTGCTTGGGGTTTGCAATATTCTGGTGGAGGAAAGAGGGCAATAAGTCAGGGTAATGATAGACACGAGATCATATGAGAAGAAACAAAAGGTTAACCAGTTTCTAGAACGCCAACCGGTGGGCTGCAGCCCACTGGTGAGCCGTGAGAAAATTTTGGGCCGTAGAGAAATCTCACCCCCAGAGCACCCCACAAAGCAATTAATCCAGGCTGTGCAGAAACACTAGGCTGCACCGCCCACATGGCCGGCGGGAACCCTCCCTGCCCATTAACTCCTTACCTAGCAAACTTGCCTGCTAAATTGCTTTTTCCCCATCAGCTGTTCTGCTGTGCCAGGACATTTAGATTGGCTAGGAAGCAGGAAATGGTTGGATTTCTTGCTTTCTAGATAGTTTTTAGATCTTCGGCTCTGCTTTTAAGCACAACCGAACCTCCATTAGGACTGAAGGTTTGCTTGCAAACAAATTCAGTGCAGACTCACGGCAAGCAAATTTGAGAGACTGAGTTAGCCGATGGCAGATAGATAGATCACTGAATGATTCTGTGAGTAACTCAATCTGCCTGCCTGCTTTGCCTGATTTTGGGTAAAAGTTGCTCTTTTTTACATAAAAAATTCAATATTGACATACATGGTGTGTTGTGAGTTAATCTGGTGAGTTTGCTTGCAAGCAAATTTTATGTGACAGACTGGGCTAGCCGTTGGCAGATAGATAGATCTCTGAATGAATCTGTGATTCTGTGAGCAACTCAATCTGCCTGCCTGCTTTGCCTGATTTTGGGTAAAAGTTGCTCTTTTTTTATAAAAAAAATCAATATTTATATAAATATTTATAATATTTACATACAAGCCATGACCAGCCAGTCACATGACCAGCAAGCCACACCCACAAATTAGGCCACGCCCACAGAACCAGTTAGTGGTCCCTGGGATTTAAAATTATGAGTTTGGTGGTCCCTGAGGTCCAAAAGGTTGGCGACCCCTGTTCTAGGAGGCGACTTCGCTGTTTGTTGCCAATCCTGCATTCCATCCCCTGTACTGATCTGATCTGCTTTGTTCTGATCTGATCAGACAAGATCTGATCTTCATAATATCAATGTACCACCTCCCATTTGCAGTAGTTGCTGCCTGATACAAGGTCAATCTATAATAAAGTTTGCCTTAACCTCAGTTCACATTAGATATGATAAGTGAAGACTAGGTTTAGCATATGCCCATCTATATGAACCAAGGCCATAACTATGAAAAGTCCATGGTGGCCATGGAGGCTACGAAGCAAAAGCATCAGCAAACTTCAACAAACTATTCCAGGCTATAGAGAATAAGCATTAGGGACCCCAAAACTAGTCTTAAGGTGTATTGTAGAAGCTTACAGAGGTCCACTGCCAACCAGTTGTTTAATTATTACACCGTTTCCCACTCTGGTCCATTTCCACACAGAGATATTGATAATGTCATTTCCGGGACACTTCTCCCAATTAGTGTGAGAGATTCACATGCTATCATAGCTAACCTTACTTTCCAGTGCCAAGACTGCTCCAAGATTTAAACTAGCAGATTTCAAAAAGAGCTACATCCCATTAATTCCCAATCAAGCTTCAGTACAGGCAGTCCTCGAGGTACAAATATAATGGAGCCATTCCATTCCATTCATAAATGAGGATTCATGGGAGTGAATATCATGGGCCAATAGCTGAGGCAACCACAAGCTCTACCTGATATTAAAGTACCAACAGCAATGATACTAACAATGACTCTTCTTATCTTCTATATCAACATTACTGCGATTCCCCCATATGTTGAAATAAAGTGCAATATACAATTTCATTATGTATTAAGCAAGAACAATTATACCTACCATAGATTCTGGACAATATTCAGGAGCACGTTGCAACAGGTGTTTCAAATGTGAATCACTCTTAGATGCCAAAATCTATTAAAAGAATAGTTAAGAAAATATTGCATGGTAAAAATAGCACAGCATAGCATTTTAGTCTTATATACAGCTTCACAGCACTTTACAGCACTCTTTGGGTGATTAATAATGTAGAAGCATTATTTTTATATTGCTTCTAATAATCTTGCTCCTCATTTTATTGACTTTGGAAAGATGGATGCTGAGTCAACCTTGCGCCCCTAAGGATAAAACTCCAGATTGTGGTCAGTTTGCCAGCAATATTATACTTTAACCACTGACCCACCAGGGCTGAACTTCAATCCACTTTCAATAAAATTTGCAAGCAAACAAAAGTATATGTAGACATATTTTATAGTGTTTTATCTATACAATGTACATTGTACTGATACTCTAAAATAGGGGTGTCAAACTCGATTTCATTGAGGGCCTTCAGAGTTGTGGTTGACCTTGGAAGGCTGGGTGGCATGGCTGGGGTGGATGTGGCTGGCTGGGTGTGGTCGGGATGGATGTGGACAGCTTACCTCCCTCCCTCCTTCTCATTCTCATCTCCCTCCTTCCTCCCTCCCTCCCCTCCTTCCCTACCTACCTCCTTTGCATTCCCATCTCCCTCCTTCCTCCCTCCCTTCCTTCCTCCCTTCCTTCCTTCCTCCCTCCCTCCTTCCTTTCCTCCTTCTCATTCTCATCTCCTTCCTTCCCTCTCTTCCCTTTCCTGGAGAAGGCAACTCCACCCACACCCACTCCCGCTTTAAATGTGGTCCTTATTAAGAGCCGGAGGTGCCCACTCAGATACCTACTGCTTGTTTTTTCCCAAAAGAAAAAGAAATTGCTGGTCCAGGATCGTTGTAATTGTAATTTTTGTAGGCATTGTAATTTTTTAAGGATTTGAAAAGCCATTCTTTTAATTTTGGAGTCTCACTTTTCAGCACAATTCCACCCCTCCTCTCAAAGCCTCCTTTGTTTCCAAGAAAAAAAGAAATCAGAGGAAAGGAGAAGAGTGAAGCATGCACAAACGTAGTCACCGAACCAGTAGTCCCACCCCTGATTACATGTTTTAACAGCAGCCAGAATTGTATCTGCACAATATTGGAAAGGTGTGGAGATCCCTATAGAAGAGAAGATAATAATAAAAAAAAAAAACAATACTAGAATGTGCAGAACTTGATAGATTAACACTTGAAATTAAAGAGAAGGAAGATATGGAATATTTTGAAACATGGATTCATTTTATAAACGGTTAACAAACAGCAACAGAAATTAGAACATTTAAAATTATAAGAAGATTAATTTTACCATGAGGGTTTATTATATGTTTATTACCGTGTTTCTCCAACAATACGGCCTCCACCAATAGGAAGGCCCAGCATGTTTTATCGGCATAAAATCAAATTAAGCCCCTCCCCCCAAATTAAGGCCTATATTAAACATGCAAAATGGGGGGGAATGGCAGGGGGGGCTTGCCGTTAGGAAGTACTTTTGTTGCATACCCGGATATGGTGCTCCCTGCGCTGACTTTGGCGTTGGTGGGGCACTTAGTATCGGGAGACCTTCCGCCACCATTGCTTTCCCTTCTCCCTTGCTGCCACAGCGTTTAGAGCAATGCCATGGCGTTTGGTGCAGCCACGTGTGGCCAGCCAGGGCTCCTCCCTGCAACCAGAGCCTGGTGGAGATACTCTGCTTCAGGCGCTCCTGTCGCCGCCTTCCCTTCGCCTTCGAAGGCAAAGCCAATTCTTTTAAAAATGACACCCTACTACTGGTATGACAAAGCCTCCCCTGCCCGAGAGGGCAGCCCAACCCCACGTGGAGAGGCGAATCTCCTGGGGCTGCAGCACAGGATCGGCCCACCCCGGGAGAAGCACCCAGCCGCCATCCCTGCCTGGCGCCGGGCAGAGTGCAAAGAGCTTCGCCTGGGGCACCCAGCACAGCTGACAGGCGGGCCCTCCTACCCGGCGACGGAGCTCTCACCAAGGCAGCAAGTGCCTCCCCGCTGGGCCCTCCGCTTATCCCACCAGAGCCGTGCGGGCTGGGCAGAGCCGGGAAAGCAAGCCATGGGTGTGCGCCCACCTGCCAAGCGAAAGAGCCGGGCTGACCCAAGCTTGGCTTCCTTCCCAAATCCCTCCAGCATGAACCCGAAGGGGCCACCGGGAGAGGCCGCCCGAGGCAGTGATAGTGCCCACCCATCCGTGGACAGGGAGGCAAGGCGACGGCCTGCGCCGCGTCCTCCTCCGATCTGAGCCCCAAGTCAGCACTTCTGCCTGATGCCCGCTCTACTGCAGCATTTGGAGCTGCTGGCGCATTTGGAGATGCTTGGGGATGGGGACGGGCTGGGCGAGGGGTAGAAAGGACGGGCGGCTTCGGGCTCTCTCTGCCGGCCAGGGAAGCAGCGCTGCCATTACCTCACCTCCCTGTCTGTGGACGGGTGGGTGCTATCACTGCCTCGGGCAGCCTCTCCCGGTGGCCCCTTCAGGTTCATGCTGGAGGGACTTGGGAAGGAAGCCAAGCTCAGGTCGGCCCAGCTCTTTTGCTTGGCAGGCGGGCGCGCACCCGTGGCTTGCTTTCCCGGCTCTGCCCAGCCCGCACGGCTCTAGCGGGATAAGCGGAGGGCCCAGCGGGGAGGCACTTGCTGCCTTGGTGAGAGCTCCGTCGCCGGGTAGGAGGGCCCGCCTGTCAGCTGTGCTGGGCGCCCCAGGCAAAGCTCTTCGTGCTCTGCCTGGTGCCAGGCAGGGATGGCGGCTGGGCGCTTCACCCAGGGTGGGCCGATCCTGTGCTGCGGCCCCGGGAGATTTGCCTCTCCACGTGGGGTTGGGCTGCCCTCTTGGGCAGGGGAGGCTTTGTCATACCGGTAGTAGGGTGTCGTTTTTAAAAGAATTGGCTTTGCCTTCGAAGGCAAAGGGAAGGCGGTGACAGGAGCGCCTGAAGCCGAGTGTCTCCACCAGGCTCTGGTTGCAGGGAGGAGCCCTGGCTGGCTGCACGTGGCTGTGCCAAACGCCACAGCGTTGCTCTAAATGCCGCGGCAGCGAGGCAGAAGGGAAAGCAACGGTGGCGGAAGGTCTCCCGATACGAAGTGCCCCACCAACGCCGAAGTCAACATCCAAGCTGTCACTGCCCACCCACCCGAGGATGCAAGAGGGGGGGAATTAAGTCACCCCTGAAAAGATGGCCTAGCCGTTTTTTCGGGGGTCAAAAAAAAATAAGGCCCGGCTTTATTTTGTGAGAAACACGGTATTAGTATGATTGCATATTAACAATTCAGTATTAATATTATGTAGAAAAAATACTATTATATGATTACTACTAATGAACATTATGATGACTATTGCTCAAATTAACTGTAACAGACAACACAATGTTTATATAGACATTGAAACTGTTGCTTTTTCTTTATATAGTAAAAATTTAAAAAATCATTTAAAAAAATTGCTGACCATGCAATGGATCCTCTGTGGATCCTCATCTTATGGAACATACAACATGTGAATCTAATATCTGAAATAAACACTCAATTCTTTTAAAACTTTATGCCCCTGGGGAAGGTTAGTATTCCAATCTAAAATCTGAGACATGCTGCTTGGTACTGATGAAGAAGTAGATAATTCTACAAAACAAGAGACTATTGGAGCTAGAAAGTCATGAATTGAAATTTGGATGGCACTGTTATTTATGGCCTGATAAAATTAAAATTAATATAGAGTTTAAGAATCACTTTGTTAGATATAAAGCAAGATTGCCTCCAAAGGTTTCTCTGTGGTTGTCACCATGAGAAGCCTTTTTCAGAAGAGAAATGAGAGTTAAAGGCACTTGACTGACCTATACCAAACTATTAACATTTGCTAAAAGTCAGTCAGTCTTGGGAGTGACTAGAAGAAGCAGAAGAACCAATGAGAATTCCTTCTTCTGCAGTGTCATCAGTCTCCAGGCAGTCTCTTGATTTACCCACTGAGAAGATCAGCACAGAGACAGAAGTGGAGAAAGTGAGAAGGAAATCCATTCAGTCTTGGGAAGGCTGCAGCTCAATGCCAGCTCCAGAGGGGAGTGTGGACTTGCGGTTGCCCCCCTCATGATTCTCAGCCATAATCTCCTTTTCTGTATGTATGTGGGATGGTGGTGATAGACTTGATGTCCTTTTCATTCCCTCAATGGAGGAGGAAGCCCTCAGCAGAAGCTGTGCATAATTGGGGGAGGGAGGGAGAGAATACATTGGATGACTGGAGAGAAGTGGCAGATCCACAGTCTGCTGCCTGGGAAATCCTTGGATGCCATCACACGCACACACACACACACACACACACACACACACACACACACATATTTTGGTTTAAGAAATGGTGGAAAATAAGAATGGCAGGCCTTCCTTCCTTCTTTCCTAGCAATTAAATACATAAGCCGCTGACAAATAAAGCCCTCTTTCCCCATATCTCCCTATGTTTTCATATTAATTTAATTCCATTGTCACCTATTGATCTAACTGCCAAATGCATCAGTCTCTAGCTTATTAGCAATATGTTTCTGAAGATTTTTACATATTATATGTAACAATAGACATAAACCGTTATCTGTTTAAAATTTTCAGCTGCGATTCAACATACCAAAAATCTAGTAAAACTAAGAATTAGGTGACATTCTGCGTAAAAGCAAGAAGAAAGATGATATACAAAGAATTTAAAAATATAAAACAAAATTAAAAATATAAACCGGTTTATAAATTATGTCACCACATAAAATGAAAGAACCAAGACTATGATTACTCATACACATTAAACTTAAAATACACTCATAATTAAAATAAGTTCATGAAAATATCTGGGTGACGCTAAAGGTCTCAGGCTTAAAACTTCACCATTAAAAGTGATAAACACATGGCAATACATAACATTAGAATGCCAATTCAAATGTAAAGTTTGGCATAAATTCAGAACCAACTTACCAGTTCACAAACATCATGACACATTAAGTTATTCTTCGCAAGGTAACAGCATGATGCACCTGTAGAAAAACATACTTTTCAACCTCAATAAATATTTACATTTTATAATGCTAATGGAACTTTTTTTTATACTTATTTTTCTAAAGTTGTACTTTAAAACTGAACACTGAAATGACAGTCATTGCCAAGCTTTTATAACAGCACATGATCAAAGCATAAAAATTATACAAACTCAGTAAGATGTTTAATTCAAAGATTAGGGGTAAAAGACAAAATATTGGACACTACAACAGACCTCCATCATTCATTTCTTATTGAATTCATTCAGGTAGAAATTCTTCCAATATTTTAATTTTTCTTCCCAAGCTTTTTGCAGCCAGGCTGACTTGTCTTTTATGAGGTAAACCAGTAATGAACTCCTCTCCTATCTATTGGTTGTATATACCTAGCATAATCTTCTAGTATTTTCCAATCTCACTACAATCTGTTGCAATAGTCTCACTGTCAGGAAATTTCTCTTTAGTTCTAGGTTGCTTCTCTCGTTTCCACCCATTGCTTCTTGTCTTGCCTTCTGATGCTAGGAAATATGTTGACATCCCCCTTCTTTATGGCAAATGCAGTCCTTGGTTGTATAAACAGAGGTACAGAATCAAAATCACATGAAGTATTAATACCACTTTATAAAAGGTTAGTAAGATCATATCTAGAATACTGTATCCAGTTTTAGTCACCATACTACAAAAAAAGTGTAAAGAAGAGCAACTAAGATGATTAAAGGTCTGGAGACTAAAACATATGAAGAACGGTTGCAAGTTTTGGGTTTGGCTAGGGTAGAGAAGGACTAGGGGTGACATGATAGGAGTATTCCAGTTTCTAAGGGGCTGCTACAAAGAAGAGAGGATCAAATTATTGTCCAAAGCACCAGAGGGCAGAACAAGAAAAATGGATGGAAACTAATCAAGGAGAGAAGCAACCTGGAATTAAAGATAAACTTCCTGGCAGTAAGAACAATTAACCAGTGGAACAGCTTCCTCTCAGAACTTGTGGATGCTTCATCACTGGAGGTTTTTAAGAAGAAACTGGACAGCCACTTGTCTGAAATGCCCTCCTGCTTGAGCAGGAGGCTAGACTAGAAGACCTCAAAGGTCCCTTCCAGCTCTATTCTATTCTACTTTCTGTGAGAAAATAAAAATAATAGATTGTTAACAAAGAGTTTTGAAAATTAGCTTTGTTGTTGGGATTACCTGTTCTTCAATACAGTAGATGCTAGGCAAATTGGTTGATAATATTTCATATTTATAGTATTTTAATGATATAGAAGTTCATAAATTGTGGACCTGTTTTGCAAAGTGAGAGAACTACTGTTAATGAAATATATTTATCACTATTCAACCAGGGAGGCCAATCTATGCATATGTTTGTTTTAAAAAGTTCCCTTAACAAAATAGACAAATGGAAGATTTATTCAGATAAAAATAGTACAGTACCAAGCACAAAAAAGAAGAGTTCATTCCATGGATTTCAGGGATTTCATCCATTTCATGGATGAAAATCTTAAAGGGGAAAATGACCCAAGAAGCTTAGAAAACCCTGGAAAAATGATAAAAGCCCAGTCCAGCCCAATACCACTGAAAAAGAAAAAAAATCCAAGAAAAACTGATCATGATTACACAAAGAACTTTCTGATAAATTGAGAGACAAAAAGAATAAATATAAAAAATGGAAAGAGGGACACACATAACTAAGGCAGAATACTAGCATATAGCCCAAATCTGCAAAGTTGGAGCAAGGAGAACTAAGGTTCAGAATGAATTAAAACTTGCAAAAAATGGCAAAAATAATTTTAAAAAAATTCTTTCAACATACAAAAAAATAAGAAAAAGTCAAAGAAACAATGTAATGGGAGAAGATGGCAAGGAAGTGACAGGAAACAGGGAAAAAGTAGACCTCCTTAATTCTTTCTTTGTATCTGAAAAGAAAAAAATACCCCAACCTACCAAAAGGAGAATTGTAAATGACAGACTAGTTAATTCAAATTAAAATAGGCAAGAAAATGATGTCCACTCTAGATTAGTTCAAATCATCAGGACCTGTTTGTCATGTTTCCACCACAGCTTCCTGATGAGGAAATTTTCCCCTTTCGTTTTGGCACTGAACGGAATGGGAAAGGGTTTCTCTAGCTGTGGGGAAGGCCAAACGAGGCCAAGTTGCAGCATCCTCCCTTCAGCTCCTTCATCTGCTTTAATGTTTCTTCTGCAGAAAGCAAGAGAAATTCATTGCTGAGGCTATGTGGAACATAGGTTTTCCTGCCAAGTGGCTCCTCTGGTACGATTCAGTTTGGTGAAAGAGTGCAGAGAAAAGCAGCAAAGATGATGAGGGAACTAGAGGCTAAAACATAAAAAGAATGGTTGCTGGAATTGGGTTAATGAAAAGAAGGACTAGGAGTGACATAGCAATGTTCCAATATGTCAGGGGGTACCACAAAAAAGAGGGAGTCAAGCTATTCTCCAAAGCACTAAGAAGCAGTGAATGGAAACTAATCAAGGAAAGAAGCAATCTAGAACTGAGGAGAAATTTCCTGACAGTTAGAATAATTAATCAATGGAACAACTTGCCTCCAGAAGTTGTGAATTCTCCAACACTGGAAGTTTTTAAGAAGAGATTGGATTACCATTTATCTGAAATTATATAGGGTTTCCTGTCTTAGCAGGCAGTTGGACTAAAATACCTTCAACGTACGTTCCATCTCTGTTATTCTGTAAACTATTCTGATTACATGCCAGGATTCTGAAAAAGCTGACAGACATGATCTCAGAACCATTGAAACGTATCTTTCAAAGATCCTGGAGCACTGGAGAACTACCAGAGGACTAGAAAAAAGCTAATGTGGTTTCTATTTTCAAAAAAGGAGAGAGAAAAACAGATCCAGAAATGACAAACCAATCAGCTTGACATCAGTACTTGGGAAGATCCTGAAAAAGATAATCAAGCAATAGATTTGAAAACACATATAAGCAAGATCCAAATGGATCTCGACAGACTTGAACACTGGGCCTTATCTAACAAAATAAAATTCAATATAGAAAAAAGTAAGGTTTTACACTTAGACAAGAAAAAAATAATCAGATACAGATTAGTTGAAACTTGGCTCAATAGCAGTAACTGACAGGAAGCAGTGATTGGAAACTAACCAAGGAGGGAAGCAACCTAGAATTTCTTGACAGTGAGAACAATAAACCAGTGGAAGTTGTGGAGGCTTTTAAAGAGACTTGATAGCTATTTGTCAGAAATGGTATAAGAGTCTTCTGCTTAAACAGGCTTGGACCAGAAGACCTCCAAGGTATATTATAACACTTGTTATTCTTTTATTTAGTATCAGCAAAGGTTAAGGAAAAGTCATAGATTGCAGGATTCCAGTAAGAACAGAATTATTTCAGAATGTTAATAGAGGCTATAGACAGTCAACAAGAGTCAAAATTGACTCATAGGTGCAATCCTACTAATGGTAAAAAAACAAAGAACAAAAAACCATGATACAAATTGCCCTTGAGTCTTTAATTCAGAGAAGATAGAAGATGAGCACGTGCTAGAAAATGTGTCTTAGATATACTGAGGTATATGGGAAAATTTAGCTTTGAAAATAAAATACTTGAGAGACCATATATACTACTTTTCAAATACTTGAAAGAGCATCACGAGTGAACTTAAAGAAAATTCTTTGCAGAACATATCTAAGTTATAGTGAGTGAGTCTTTTAATTCCTAACAGTAAGAACAGTTTTACAGAGGAACCAATTATCCAGAGGAGACTTCATCCTATATCCACAGTAGCTGCTGCCATCATATTATGGGGTTAAACATCAAAAAGAGAACCAACATAATTCCCTGTCTTGATTTTTCAAAAGAGGTTGGAGCAGAAATTTTAAAAGACAGAAGTCTATAAATACAATCATTATAATATTCCAGCATCAGATTTAATTTTGTCCATCACAGGATGAAAACAGTGTTTAGAATTACTCAAAGCATAAGTGATATATTGGTCAGTTCTAAAATGCAGGTCTCCTGTTAGACTGTTCCAGTTCCAGATCTGCAATCCTAATCCTAGGGACAATAATTCTATTCTCTGGAGCTGTGCCTTTATTCTAATCTGTCCAGTTCATTTTTTTCTATTTAGTGGTCTATGCTCAGGACTGTTCCCTAAGGCTTCCTTTTAAATCCAATAAACAGAATACATTTTAATTATATTAAAACAAACATATATTAATTAACGCAAAACAAGAAACTGAAAATACCTGTATGCTATTATCCATAAGTAAAATTTATATTAAGTTTTAAAATAAGAGAAAATATTTCTATTCCATTCCTGTTGAGAATCCACTGTTTGCTTTTCTTTTTTGTGTATATTTGCAGCTTGTTTTGATTTGCATACAGTTATGTTAATAGCATTTCTGATTTCCCATTCCCTGATTTAGGCCTTCGGATAGCTCCATTCCATGTCTTTTATTTTAAGAGTTTCACCGAAGATATGTACCGTAAATGAATAGACAGCAAGCACTTTGAGGAAAATAACGAAGTGAAAATAATTCAAATTCCGAGTAATTTTATGCTAAACTCCGTTTTAATGGACTTCAGATTGCATACATAATTCGACCGACATCCTTGATTTAAAAAAAAACATTTAAAAGACATTATCAGCAAATTCCTTCAAACTTCAGCCAACCCCCACCCCCACTCCCTGCAACCCCCGGTTAATTAACGGGTTGGTCGAGTTGTTTCTGAATGCATAGTTGCCCAGGCTACCATTTAATTGTTCCCGAATCCATTACTTACCCGTCATGCCTGGGAGGAACAAGAGTAACACGGGGATGATTAACAAATCTGTCTGACTTCGTCCATTCTCCCGCTGTGGATGACTGCCTCGAGTCGCCATAGCTCGTCCTCTGCCGTCCGCCCCATCCGCCAACCACCCCGGGCGCCTTTTCATTGGCTGACGGATCCCTCCAGTCCTGACCAATTGTTCAGTCTGAGAGAAGATAGAAGTCTACGAGGAGGGACCGACCCCTTAAGATTCCGCAGGAGGAACCTACTCTACTGTTTCGCGAAATTCTTATCGATCGGGATATTGGCATGCTCCTTTTTTGCGAGTTTTATATAAAAGTTATAAAGACTTTTATATCAAAGACTTTAATTAATCTATGTAGTAGAGTAGTATAACTTCTTGCAGCTCTTATAATGCCCATCTGTATAATTATCCTAAAGAATTATTTACTTTTATTATTTATTTTATTTTGTCAAGCGATTATAAAATAACAGGTTTAAGTATAAACATAGCTATGAATACATGAAATGGATACATATAAGAAAAATAAAAAGAAACAATAGCAACAGGGACAGTAGGCACGTTGATGCGCTTATGCACACCCCCTACAGACCTCTTAGGAAAGAGGTGAGGTCAATAGTAGACAGTCTAAGGTTAAAGTTTTTGGGGTTTGGGGAAGAAACCACAGAGTCAGGTAGAGTATTCCAGATATTGACCACTCTGTTGCTGAAGTCGTATTTCCTGCAATCAAGTTTGGTGCGGTTTATCTTCAGTTTGTATCTATTTTGTGCTCTTGTATTGTTTTGGTTGAAGCTGAAGTATTCATTGACAGGTAGGACATTGCAATATATAATTTTATGTACTATACTTAGATTGGACCAAAGGCGGCATAGTTCTAGTTTTCTAGGTCTAGAATTTCAAGTCTGGTGGCATAAAGATGAAGAAAAGTGAAGGAGTGACCCAAAAACACGCAAACCATGGTTCCATTTAGAAAAATTAAAAGCACTTGAGAAAACCGTTACAGTATGTAACATATATACTTTTTGACGTAGAGGCCAAGAATGCCCTGATTAGTAAGTACATCAATCTAAAGCACTACAGAAAAATGTCTGACCTTTGAACTCATCCAGTGAAGAGAGATCTCCCTATTTAAATTTATTTTTAACTTCTTAAAATGAAAAACTTTGCATTTCTTTCTGTAAAATTTCATTCTATTTCTTTCTGTAAAATTTCATTCTATTTTCACCCCATTTCAGTAAAACATTTCTATATTTTGGTTTTATCTCTTCCATGGAATTTTGTATTATATGCAAATTTCAGAAAACTGTATTACTTGTCTCTTTATTCAAGCATTTAATGAAATGTAAAAGAGCAGAAGAGCAGGATTGATCTTAATGACATTTAATTTGATGCTTCTAGTCTGATGGGGAATCATCTATGAGCATAATTTAATTGACATGCCACCTAGTCCACATTCACTACTTTGCTAGTTATGTGGTACAGTACTTTGTCAAAAGCACTGCTGAAATTAAGACATATATAGAGTTTTTTTCGGTACTGATGTAAATTTTTCAATTCCAAGCTTTCACATTTTCTCCTTTAGATTTCCCCATTTGATAGGATCATACGTATTATTCCTCAGTCTTTATTACAATTCAGTTTCACTTTCATTTAAATTTTTTAAAAAGCAGCATTAATCCCCTAACAAATGTTAGGATAATTAAAATCTACAACTTCTTACTTATGACCGTTGCTGTATCCCACAATCATTTTGCGACCTTTCTGACAAGCAAAATCAATGGGGAAGCTACATTTATTTAACAACCATGTTATTAACTTATCAGCTGTAATGATTCACTTAACAATTGTGGCAAGAAATGTTGTAAAATGGAGCAAGTTTCACTTAACATTGGGGTCAATGGTGTGGTAAGTCAAGGACTACCTGTATTCATTTTCTATTTTAACTTATAGTTGTTTCTGTTTATGGATTCCAACATGCCCTGTGCCAATAAACTGTCTTTTCTTTCTTTGCTTTACAAATTATTGCATGTATGTATGCATTTTCATGAGGAGGCAGCCAGAGCAGCTTCCAAAGCATAGAAAGAATCATAAGATCCCACCTCGCTCCCATTTCATGACCCCAGGAAAAGGTGAAAAAAGAAAAAAAGTCAACTGTGAAGACTGGGAGAAAGAAAAAGAACTCTACTTCTCACCCAAGTGGAATGTCTCAGGGGACCCAATAAGTAAGAGCATTCTGCAAATGGATACATGGTAACTGCAATAATGTAAGAAGTTGCTTCCACACTTCAGATTGAGGGAAGCAAATTGATAGGATTAAACTATGTAAATACAAAAACTGACTAGATTTACATTATCTTCCCTTTCCCAAGGCTGGACTTCCTTCCACCACTCAGAAAGCCAGATGAATCAATCAAAATACCAAAAGCTGTACTGTTAAACTAATCATGAGGCATGTCTATCACAAAGGTCTAGAAAGGGATAAAAATCATCCTACTCACCTTTCCAATCTGCCAGCTGACCTGGAACCTCTGTTGTCACTACAGTTTTCTGGTTTCTGAAATAAAGCCTCCTTTCCATTTTGTTCATCGTTCCTACAGCTACATCACAGGCATCCATTTTAAAAAAGGAGATTAAAAGTTGTAGATGTTCCAATATTGGGCAAATCATAAAGACATTCTTAAGTTATTTAAATCAGGGGTCGCTAACCTTTTGGACCTCAGGGACCACCAAACTCATAATTTTAAATCCCAGGGACCACTAACTGGTGGTTAGTTTGCGGGTGTGGCTTGGTGGTCATGTGACTGGCTGGGCATGGCTTGTATGGAAATATAAATATTTATATAAATATTGAATTTTTTATAAAAAAAGAGCAACTTTTACCCAAAATCAGGCAAAGCAGGCAGGCAGATTGAGTTGCTCACAGAATCAGGTTAGCTATGATAGCATGTGAATCTCTCACACTAATCAGGAGAAGTGTCCCGGAAATGACTTATTATCAATATCTGTGTGTGGAAATGGACCAGAGTGGGAAACGGTGTAATAATTAAACAACTGGTTGGCAGTGGACCTCTGTAAGCTTCTACAATACACCTTAAGACTAGTTTTGGAGTCCCTAATGCTTATTCTCTATAGCCTGGAATAGTTTGTTGAAGTTTGCTGATGCTTTTGCTTCGTAGCCTCCATGGCCACCATGGACTTTTCATAGTTATGGCCTTGGTTCATATAGATGGGCATATGCTAAACCTAGTCTTCACTTATCATATCTAATGTGAACTGAGGTTAAGGCAAACTTTATTATAGATTGACCTTGTATCAGGCAGCAACTACTGCAAATGGGAGGTGGTACATTGATATTATGAAGATCAGATCTTGTCTGATCAGATCAGAACAAAGCAGATCAGATCAGTACAGGGGATGGAATGCAGGATTGGCAACAAAAGCGAAGTCACCTCCTAGAACAGGGGTCGCCAACCTTTTGGACCTCAGGGACCACCAAACTCATAATTTTAAATCCCAGGGACCACTAACTGGTTCTGTGGGCGTGGCCTAATTTGTGGGTGTGGTTTGCTGGTCATGTCACTGGCTGGTCATGGCTTGTATGTAAATATTATAAATATTTATATAAATATTGATTTTTTATATAAAAAAAGAGCAACTTTTACCCAAAATCAGGCAAAGCAGGCAGGCAGATTGAGTTGCTCACAGAATCACAGATTCATTCAGAGATCTATCTATCTGCCAACGGCTAGCTCAGTCTGTCACATAAAATTTGCTTGCAAGCAAACTCATAAAATTTGCTAGGAAACAAACTCACCAGATTAACTCACAACACACCATATCTGTCAATATTGAATTTTTTATAAAAAAGAGAGCAATTTTTACCCCAAAACAGGCAAAACAGGCAGGCAGATTGAGTTGCTCACAGAATCATTCAGTGATCTATCTATCTGCCATCAGCTAGCTCAGTCTGTCACATAAAATTTGCTTGCTGTGAGTCTGCACTGAATAATAGAACCTTCAGTCCTAAGGGAGGTTCGGCTGTGCTTAAAAGCAGAGCTGAAGATCTAAATACTAGCTAGAAAGCAAGACATCCAACCATTTCCTGCTTCCTAGCTAATCTAAATGTCAGGAAAAAAGCAATTTAGCAGGCAAGTTTGCTAGGTAAGGAGTTAATGGGCAGGGAGGGCTCCTGCAGGCCATGTGGCTGGCGCAGCCTTGTGTTTCTGCGCAGCCTGGATTAATTGCTTTGTGGGGTGCTCTAGGGGTTAGATTTCTCTACGGCCCACCAAAGTTTTCTCACGGCCCACCGGTGGGCCGTGGCCCACCAGTTGGCAGCCGCTGATTTAAAGAGATGTTGAGCCTACTTATTCTAATAGAACATTAATATAATTTAATTTACAGTAAATGAATTAAAGGTGAGGAGAGATGGGTAATTATTGTGGATGTAAAATATTATCCAAACACTTATGATATTCCAAATTGCTTGTCAGATGGACATAGACATTCAATATATATCTATGAGAAAAAGATGCAATTTGCATCTAATATCCCAAGCAATTCAATTTGGAGAGGATTAAAAAATTGATCTAAGTCAGGTGTACATTTAGGACAGAGGGTAAACTGTAGAACTACATCAAAGCTGGAGAAAAATGTACAGTCTGTCCAGAAATTGTTCTGTCTTATAAAGGTATGAACATTCATTCCTGGTGCTTGCTGGTTACTGTCAAAGATTTGTGCCCAAATACAGCCAAATTTCAGGACCACTATGAGAGTTAATCCTGTAGGTTCTCCCACTTGAGTAGGGGGCTGGAGTAGAAGACCTCCCAGGTCCCTTCCAGCTTATTCTATTCAATTCTAAATTAGAAGTGAAAGATAAGGAACCTGGACAATACTCAGAATGGAGCTGCATCTCAGAAGAAATGACTGATTCCTGTGTAAGAATTTAATCTCAGAATACCTGGATTTAAAGTCTTCTATTTCAGTACCATTTAAATTATTATCAATACTCTTCTAGCCTGGGGACACTAGAATATCTTCAAAATAAGGTGCTGGAGTTAGAGGTTAAGAAGTGACAGGAATAATTGGTTTGCTTCTGATTCTTAAACATATATTTCTTACTCATGTTTCTCTCCTCTTTTTCTGAC